TAGAGTGGCAGAAACACATGTTCTATACCTCTCTATGCTTTCTGCAGTTTGCCTAGTGTTTTTACCGGAGCTCACACATTAGAGTACTCTTCCGTTTTATTTGCTATGCTTATAATTTTATTAGTAAAATCTTAACTGTGAAAACAGGTTGGAATTGACTGTTGCCCTTAGTGGTACATTATTAGCATTGCCCTTAGTGGTACATTATTAGCGGTAAATTGAATTAGTAGCTTCTGTGTTTTGAAAGGAGAGGTCGGTGACGGACATTGGAGGTCTGGGGCCCTCTCCTTACAGCGGCCCCTTTACCCGCATCACGCCCACAGCACTGGCAGCGTCCCAGCCTGCGTCACAGCCCCGGGTTCGGCAGGCTCCCTGGAGCAGACGGGGTGCCAGCCTCGAGGAAGAGCATCCGGCCTGACTGTGGTTTTCTGTGCTCAGTGGCCCCTGCAGCCTGAAGGCCGCAGCCAGCTCGGGGCCCACACACGGCACTGCACCCGTGTTTCTGGACGGGAAGGGCAGGCGCACCATAAGCTTCTGACTTCCCTTCTTTGCCAAGCGCCTCGCCCCAGGAGCAGCCCTTGTGCAGGGAGCTGTTCTCCAAAGGCACTTTAGATCTCGGCCTCTGTGGTCTGCGTTTGGTGGCGCAGCGGGTCCCTCTGTAATCTCAGCACAGACCCCAGGGCCCGCTGCGCGTGGGCCCCCAGATTCTCTCGTCTCCTTTGCTCAGGACATCCACCTGCCAGAAACAAGAAATCACACCTTGCCAGTGTTTAAACCACCGAATCGTAGCTGCATTTCAGTTCTCAGTCCAAACCGTCATCTCCATGGGAGAACTTACAAACCAGGACACTGACTCCACCTGTGCTGTGTGTGCGATTCCTTCTGCACTCGTTCATTGGCCAGACAATTCCCGAGCGATGAGACACTAAGTAGCAGAGAAGGAAAGGTCGCCCCCTCCTGGAATCTGCTTGCGTTTGAGTGGAGGAGGAGAAGGTCACGACACAGTAGCACCTTGTGGCATTTCCTGTGTGTGACACTGTCCCCTGCCTGTCATGTGATAGGTTTGACCACACAGCAGCCTGTGAGGTGGACGTTACTCCTGTCCTCAGTGTACAGGAAATTGAGGCCATGGCCAAAGGCGGGTGACCCGCCTAATGCCCCAGGCCGGCTCCACTGCCTGGTCTGTGCCCTGGTGGCCAGGAGCAGAGGAGCGTGTGGGCAGCAGAAAGGAGGGGGAAGTGGGGGCCAGAGCTGTAGACACTGACCCAGTTGAATGAGGGGATATTTGAACAGAGACCTGAAGCAAGGTGACGAGGCCGTGAGACCCCGGCAGGGGACTCCAGAGGTCAAAGCTATTTTAATAATTGAGACGGGACTTCTGGCCAAGATGGAGGCGTAGGTAGACACACTGTGCCTCCTTGAACAACCAAAATTAAGGACAACAAAAATTTAGAAACAAAAAAACCCCCACCAAAACAGACAGAAAATTGAACTGTGCAGAAGTCTGACAACAACGAACCATTCATCCAGACCGGTAAGAGGGGCGAAGTTGGCAGCCACCAGAGAGGGGTCGCAGCAGGAAAAAGCAGGTGGCTGGTAACCTGGGCGCGCGCAGGCTGTGGTTGGCAGAACCCAGTCTCAGGGTAGCAACCAGCAGGTCCCAGTGAGGTGTGCAAGGCGGCTGGCTGACCGTGGTCACACATTCACATGCAAATAAACCAGGCCAAAAACAGGCAGTGAGACAGACCACGCGGTCCAGGGCCCCAGTGATGGGAAATTAAGCCTAAAAGCACCAATTGAAAAACACTTGTGGGGGTTGAGGTGCTGGGAGAGACTCCCAGCCTCACAGGAGAGGTCATTGGATAGACCCACGGGGTCCTAGAACATACACAAGCCCACCCACCCAGGAACCAGCACCAGAAGGGCCCAATTTGCTTGTGGGAAGTGGCACAGGGGACCGAAATCTGAGAGAGAGCAGAACAAACACCATTGCCCCTCTCTGACTCCGCCCCCACACACAGCGTCACAACCCAGCACCTTGGGTTGCCCCGCCCTGGTGAACACCTAAGGCCCTACCCCTCATATGGAAAGGTGCAAACAGACCAAAACATAACGGCTCCAGCAGAAGAAGAACAGCTCAAAGCCCCAGAGCCAGTAACTCTAAGCAACCCAGAGATGGCCAACCTATCAGATGCACAGTTCAAAACACTGGTGATGAGGATGCTCACTGAACTGGTTGATTTTGGTCGCAAATTAGATGAAAAAATGAAGGCTACACTAATTGAAATGAAGCAAACTGCACAGAGAACTAATAGTGATGGGAAGAAAACTGGGACTCAAATCAATGGAGTGAACCAGAAGGAAGAAAGAAAGAACCAAACAGAAAAGAATGAAGAAACAAGAATCAAAGCAAATGAGAGGCTTAGGAACCTCCAGGACATCTTTAAATGTTCCAACATCCAAATTATAGGGGTACCAGAAGGGGAAGAGGAAGAGCAACAAGAGGAAACGTTATTTGAACAAATAATAAAGGAGAATTTCCCCAATCTGGCAAAGGAAATAGACTTCCAGGAAGTCCAGGAAGCTCAGAGAGTCCCAAAGAAGTTGGACCCAAGGAGGAACACACCAAGGCACATCATAATTACATTAGCCAAGATAAAAATGAAGGAGAAAATCTAGAAGCAGCAAGAGATAAGGGGACAGTCACCTACAGAGGAGTTCCCATCAGACTGTCCGCAGATTTCTCAAAAGAGACCTTACAGGCAAGAAGGGGCTAGAAAGAAGAAGTATTCCAAGACATGAAATCCAAAGATCTACATCCAAGATTGCTCTATCCAGCAAAGCTTTCATTTAGAATGGAAGGGTAGATAAAGCGCTTCTCAGATAAGGTCAAATTCAAGGAGTTCATCATCACCAAGCCCTTACTATATGAAATGTTAAAGGGACTTATCTAAGAAAAAGAAGATAAAAAATATGAACAGTAAAAAGACAGCAAACTCACAATCATTAACAACCACACCTCAACCAAAAGCAAACTAAGCAAACAACTAAAACAGGAACAGAGCCACAGAAATGGAGATCACATGGAGGGTTAGCAACAGGGGAGTGGGAGGAAGAGAGAGGGGGGAAAAGATACAGAGAATAAATAGCATAGACGGTAGGTAGAAAATAGATAGGGGGAGGACAAGAATAGTATGGGAAATGTAGAAGCTAAAGAACTTATGACACATGGACATGAACTAAAGGGAAGGGGGGAAATGGGACAACTGTAATGGCGTAATCAATAAAATATATTTAAAAATATTAAGATGGTAACTTAATATCCTTCTTCCTGCGAACAGGTAGGTAGGTAGGTAAGTCAGTCCCACATAAATGAAAGCTGCTAGGTCCTCGGTAATGCTGGTGTGAACAGCGTGTGTGAACCACAAGTTTGAGGACACTGTTTGGATTAGACCCTCGAGCCCGCAGTGGGAAGAATCATAGGGAGGGCAAGGGTGGGCGTGGTCACTGGGCCGAGCCGCAGGCAGGAGAGAAGCAGCTGCATCTGGTTCTGTGTGTGCGGAGTTTTCAGTGCGTGTGACCAAGTTTCCCGAGTTAATTGTGTGGCTCAGTGGCGTTCACTTCGTTCACTCACATAGGCGTGCAGCTTGCCCCCGTGCCCCTTATCCTCCCACAAACAAACTCTGCGCCAGGCGAACTCGTCCCGGGGGTCTGGGCTGATCTCAGATGTGGGGGCCCAGGGCCCGCTGTGGGTGCTGCGTGGCGTGCATGAATGGCCAGCGGACGCATCCTTCGTCAGAGAGCTGGTGGCTTGTTGCACATCCAGGCGTCAGCCCCCGTGTGCCCACAAGTGCACGGCCCCTCCTCGCAGGGCGGAGTAAACGCAGGTGGCGTTCTCCTGTCATTCCGGAAGGGCTGTCACGACGGCAGAGAAGTAGTGACATGCCATGGTGACACACTATGGTGACACGCCGTGCCGGAGATGGATGCGCATTTCCATTTAGCTTCGGAGGCTTCCGAGCTGCTTTGCACTCACGGCAAAGAGTTGGGGCAGTTCATTCGGCAGATGGACACCAGCTACCAGGGGGCGAGGTTCTGAACCTGCCCCCCCATCTGCTCAGCTGAACACATCTCAAGGTGTAACGTGAGCTGGCAGCACTTGAGGTGACAGAGGGAAGAGAGTGGCAGAGTTCAGCTGTGACGTGGATCCCAGAAGGCACTGGGGGAGCTGGGCGCTCAGGGCAGACGCGGTGGCTTTAACGGGGTTGGGGACAGAGCCAGGCCCGAGCAGAACAGGAGGGGCTGGAACTCCAGACTGGTGGTACCAGGCGAGCTCCTGCCAGAACTGCACAGTCTTGCCTTGGAAATAAAAGCGGCAGGTGCAGCGCCTGTTGGGAAGGGAGGTGTTGCCTCTCCAGTTACGCCCGGCCCGACCCCCGGGAAGGTGGGGCCTGGTTTGCAGACTAGGAAATGGAGGTCAAGGGTCTGTCACAAGCTGAAGAAAGGGAGCCGGGTCTGACCCCCCCAGTCAGCCTGACTCCGGGTCAGATGTCTTCAGAAATGGGCTTTCGGCGTCTTATTTTGATACCTCACATTTGTAATCTTACATTCCTCAGTCTCATCAGTTTTGCATCTTTGCTGTACATTTTCGTTTGTCATGCTGATTTTAAGTATTATCGTACTGTCAGGGAGATGTAATGTCAATGTCCTTCTCGGTGACTTTCCTGTGCCCGAGGGTGTCTGCGGCCGTCAGTTCTTTCCCTGGAATCTGCGGGGCGGAGTCTGGCTCCTCCTGGACTTGGGTGGTTTCTCTGTTATTTGCTCCAGAATGTGGCATGTCGCCCCGCTGGGGTCTCAACAGCAAACTCCACAACAAAAAATACAAGTGCCGCCTCCCAACCAGCGGGAGTTGTGCTGTGTCGGCGTGTGTGTCTTCAGAAGCAGCTCGGTTGGAAATAGTCGTCTGACCACCGTGCTCCCCTTTCTTTCCTAAAACACAGCCAACAAGCACAAGCCGTGGCTTGAGCCCACCTATCACGGCATAGTGACCGAGAACGACAACACCGTGCTCCTCGATCCCCCACTGATTGCCCTGGACAAAGACGCCCCGCTGCGGTTCGCAGGTAGGCACGGGCTTTTCATTTGCTCTGGGTCCCCTCGGGCTGGGTGGGCTGGGCAGGCTGGGAGGGAGGCATCAGGGCCGTTTCTCAGACTTTCTCAGGGTGGCTTGGTGGCTACGGGTGGTTTGTGGCTCCCGGGCACCATGTTTTCCTGTTGTTGTTTAAGATTTTATTTATTTAATTTTAGAGAGGGGAAGGGAGAAAGAAAGAGAGGGAGAGAAGCATCAGTGTGTCGTTGCCTCTCACATGTCCCCCTATTAGGGACCTGGCCTGCAACCCAAGCCTGTGCCCTAGACTGGGAATAACCAACAGCCCCCTGGTTCTCAGACCCACACTCGATCCACTGAGCTATGCCATCCAGGGCTCCTGTTTGTTTCAATAGTTGGGCCACCTGGCCAGCAGCCTGTCCCTGTGGTTGAAAAGCAAGGTATTTCGTCGCATCCTCATGTCCCTCATCTGACGTTGTTGGAGACGCAACTCCTGGGCCAGTGCGTCTCAGACGTATGTGCACTCGTTGCACCTGAGGGTTGTGTCAACTTGGATTTGGATGCAGAAGGGCGGGGGCGGGACCTGAGGTTCTGTTCTAACCTTCTGGGGCTGCAGGCTCACGAGAGACGAGGACCTGGGTGATTACAGCTCAGGGTCTCCCTTGCACGACCTCGGTTTCAGTTACCTGCAAAGATTTATTTGAAAACGTCAAACAGTCTTTATAGAGAAATCCTTTGGCTTAGATTTTACTTTTTTTTTACTTAAGATTTTTTTTTTTTAAGATTTTGTTTATTTATTTTTAGAGGGAAGGGAAGGAGAGAGAGGGAGAGAAATATCAATGTGTGGTTGCCTCTCACCTGCCCCCTACTGGGGACCTGGCCTGCAACCTAGGCACATGCCCTGACTGGGAATTGAACTGGTGACCCTTTGGTTTGCAGGCCCTCAGTCAATCCACTGAGCCACGCCAGCCAGGGCAGATTTTACTTTCAATGAGTTTTTAAAGTGGGGTTTTTCATAGGATTGAAATCTGACAACAGCGACAGGTCTGGGGCCGCGTGGCGGTCCACTGCCCGCTGGCACGGGACAGCTCCCTGCCCGTCAGGGCGGCTCTGGTTGTGCCCACAGCAGCTTCCCCGACGGGCAGGGAGCTGGGCCCTGTTGCCCCTTCTTTGCCTCAGAGTCACGGTTGACATCGTGAAGTTGACTTTTTTTTTAAGTGTTTATTGTTTTAGAGAGAGGGGAAGGAGCAAGAAAGTGAGGGAGGGAAACATGGATCGGTTGCCTGTTGTGCGCACCCCGACCGGGGGCCAAAGCTGTGACCCAGGAGTGCGCCTGTTCCCACCGGGAGTCCAGCCGGAGACCCTTCGCTTTTGGGAAGACGCTTAACCAGCCGAGCCACACCAGTCAGGGTGTGAGGTGGTTTTAAAGAGCCGTTGTTACATGATAGTTTTCCAGGACAAAATTTCTCATGTTACTGTGTGCCGTTTGCCTAGGGACCAATAAGAGAAATTCAGTTAACTCGTATAGATCAGATGGCCCATTAATTTTACTGCGTGTAAATTGAGGGAAATGAATGTGTTTCTGAAGAGCTGCTTAAGCAATAAATTTGTTCTTCACTCCCTTCAAGTGCCACACCCCCGTTGTCAGGAGAACCGGCAGGGAACCAGCGTGAGCTGCGGGGGGCAGCGGTTTCACCGGCGGTGGGTTTTTGCAGAGACCCGGTCGGGCGGGCAAGGAGCGCTCTGGGCTGGGGGCACGGGTGTGGTTGTCTCGTAGCCGAGGGGTTTCCTGATGTCCCCTCCTTCCTCCAAATTTGAGACCATTTTTAGCATTGCACGTGGGTGTCCTCTGCAACAAACTAGATTTCTGAGTGTCTGTGTGCCCCCCCACCCCCCACACTCACACCATGTCCTGAGTTTAGTCGTCACCTGTGTTCCTCTCTGCGGGAGTGACAGTGATGTGTGAGTCACCTGACTAGGATTATCAGCTCATGTGTGGGAGCAACTACACATTCCCTGCATTTCAGGCATTTTCGGGTCTTCGGTCCTGGGGTTCACGCCAAGGCCAGTGCCTGGGACTGGTCAATACCCCGTGGATGTTGCCCGAGGAACGAACGAGTGGGCCGTGATCACACAGCTCACAGGTGGGGGGGCCGCCGTCCCGGCCAGGCGGTCCGACTCCAGCCTCGATTCGGAGGTTTGCTGGGTCAGCTCCCGTGACGTCATCTTCAAAACATCACAAACATCCTGGCTGGCCGTCTCACCCCGTCCTGGGGGGGATGGGTAACCACCGGAGACTGCTTCTGAGACTTCTGGAATAAATACGTGGGTGATGTTGGCCGCTCAGTCACCCGAGTGCATTGCAAACTGTCACTTGTCAGCCCGGCGCGGTGAAGGCACGGGGTCTCCTCCAGATTGTTTTCTCAGGGCGAAATAGGAGAACAGAGTCTTGGTATTTGTCAAGTAGTTTAGGAAATTAAATCGACTAGATTTCTTTTTAAGATTTTATTTATCTTCAGAGAGAGGGGAGGGAGGGAGAAAGAGAGGGAGAGAAACACTGATGTGTGAGAGAAACATTATTTGGTTGCTTCTCGCACGTCCCCAGCCAGGGACCTGGTCTGCAACCCAGCCATGTGCCCTGACTGGGAATCGAACAGGTGACCTTTTGGTTCACAGACCGGTGCTCAGTCCGCTGAGCCACACCAGCCAGGGAAAAATGATGAGATTTCTTATTCAGCCCCTTTCCCTTAATCGTTAAAAGCCTGGGTGGAGGTGGGTAGGAAATTGCGTTGTGTGTGTTTGGGAGTGAAAAGCCTGCAGCCCTTCCAGGGGTCGTGTCGCCGCCTGTGTTGACATTCGTCCCTTCCTCATTGCCCGTGTCCGATGCCGAGCAGGCCCCCTTGTCACGCCCCTTTTTGAGGCTCTGCCTTTCAGAAGGCAGTTTTATCCCAGCACCCTTTTCTGCTTTCCTAGACCGAGTACAGAGACTTTCTTTATAAGATTAGCTCAACAGTTGCAGTAGAAATGAACTCCAAAAAATTACGGGGCAAGAATGGGAACGTCATTCTCATTGCTATTCACTTAGAACCAACTCTGATCTAGGACCCTTTTCTCCAAGTGTTTTGTGATGTGTGTGGCTGGGGCCCTGTGGGTGGCGGGCGGGGCCCACGCCCACGCATCACCGTCACCCCCAGGGTTGGCTTTTGCATGGGCAGCACCGATGCTGGGTTCAGATCCCTGGGGCCCAGATACCCAGTGCGGATTCTGGGTAGAGAGGCTAAGACACCCAGAGCAGCCCGAAGCCCGCCCACACCAGGGCCGCGAGGCAGAGCTGGTTAGAAACAGATGGCGGGCGTCCTGGCAAACCACGTTTTGAACGAGCTTCCCAGGCAGCTCTTGGCACTGAACTTGGAGAGCCAGTGCTGCAGTCAGTGAGGAGCTGGGGGCGTTGTAGCCCCTGGGTTGTGGCGTGGAGGCTGTGGGTGTGCACCCCACAGGGGTGTGTGCTTTGCTGCTGTGAGGCTTCCATGCTTGAGAGACTGTGCTGCTGAGAGCCACTTGTGAGCTGTCCCCAAAACCAGCGTGGACCAGTCACCAGAAATAAGCCTCAGCCTGAGGTCCAGCTGGTGAGCGTGAGCGCCAAGGCTGAGTAAAGGGAAGTGGGTTGGGGACGGGAGCTGGCTTAGAAGGGACCAGTATACGGGCTGCTTGCTGCTCAGCAGGTGTCGGTTCTCCCGGGATCCAGGTCGGTGGGTCTGTGACCTGTAGCCCCGCCTTCCCCAGCCACACATGAGCACGACCCAGGCCACGCCGACCAGGTGTGCTCTCCCTGGATGTGAGTGTTGAACAGAGAGACGGGGCACTAAGGCCGGCTGAGGTTGTGTTCCGTCTGTCCAGGCCAGCTCACTCGGGGCCTGTGGCGGCCCCTAGATCCTGCTTGCTGGAGCTGCCTCGGGTTCTGGCTGTTTCCAGGCCCCTTCTCTGGCCTGCAGTTCCACCAGTTCAGGGTGGCCTTTCTGTGATGTCCCTTTGGCCTGGGTGAGCTGAAGTGCCTCTCTGTTGTTTGCAGCCAGAGCACCTAATGTCCGAGCCGGCCCAGCGACCTTTTCTAGGAGTGCAGCACAGGGCAGGGCATCCCCTGGGCAACTGTAGGCTTGGCAGCAGAGACACCCCTCGGTTTTGAAGAGCAGCGCAGTTGGAGGTCATTTTCAGGTTTGGGAGAGGCTTAGAAAGATGCAAAATCAGCCTGAAGCCCAGGCTTCTCAGAGGGACAGGCAAGGAAAGTGAAGGCTGGACCCTGTCAACCAAGAGCCCCGGACGTGACTTTGGGTGTCAAGAAGTCAGATCTATGCCGTGTTGGGTTCATCCGTGATTACAGTTTTGTTTTGCTTTTAAAAATGTCGTAGTGAAGTTCCCCTGACTGTGAGTGTCTCAGATGACCCTGGGGAACATCTGAGGAGGGGAAAGATGGGAAAGGTTTGGTCTGTTCCGGGGCTCCAGGCCAGGGCCCCAGACCCTCTCCCTCCCTCATCTGGTTGGGTACCAAGCCCTGCTCCTCCCCCTGAAGGTCCCCACCTCGTCCCTGAGGAGCTGCCTTGGTGCAGCTTCCTCGGGTTTCGCCCCTCGCCTCCTGCTTTCACGTCGGGGTCCTGGGTGGGGTGACGAGATGGGCCCTTGACAGGGGTGCACTTGGCCGGTTTGCAGCTGACGGCACAGTGGCTGCTAAGGGCCCAGCCTGCCTGGCGATGGAACCAGTGCCCGTGGACTTGAGGCCCCGAATCTGTGGTGCAGCCCGTGCGTGGAGCCAGCCTCGGTGTGGCCAGGAACGTGTGGGAAACACCAGTGTGCTCCTGCTGTTCTCATAAACGGGCCCAGGCTTGCAGAAGGCCATCTGGAAATACATATGATGAGCGTCCAGATAATTTATATTCTTCTTCTAAATCCTCATTCGGATGTTTTAGAAGAGGGGGTGGGGGAGAGAGAGAGAAAGAGAGAAGCATCGATGTGGAGGAGAAGCCTGTGGGTTGCCTCCCATGTGTGCCCCAGCTGGGAATGGAACCCACGGCCTCGTGACGTGCAGGACGACGCTCCAGCCAACCGAGCCACTCGGCCAGGGCCAAAAAGTTTATATTCTCATATTCGATGGTACCTTTGAGGCACCATTCCTTCAAAACTTGTAGCACAGATGCAGGTTCCAAACTACGGGACAAATCCCCCTCCTCCCTCCACACCCTCCTCTCCAAGGCTCTGCCAGGTCGGCCGAAGGCAGCTTCGCCCTCGCAGTTTTTCACTCACGGCCCCACAGCCTGGGTCTGACGATCCACATGTAGCCCAGATCTGATCTCATCTGCCCCAGTGCCCGGTTCTGGCCTGCAGCATCTTGCGCTGGGCTCCCCCCAGTGGCCGCCTTTGCCTTCCGGAGGCTGATTCTCAGCACGGCAGCCAGATGGGGTCTTTTGGGGTGTAAGACAAGTGTGCACTTTTCTGCTCAAAACTCCCCAGTTGTTTCCTGCTCAGCTGGAGGACAGGCTGCAATTCTCGTAGCAGCCAGTGCAGGTTCAGGTTAGGTCTCTGACCTCATCTCCGGCCCTCCCCCTTGCTGGGCTGGGCCCCCTCGTTCTGAGCCAGGCCCGGCCCGGCCGCCTCCAGGCCTTTGCACTCCCTGTCCCCTCTCTCCGAAATTCTACGCCGGTGACCGTGTTTCCTTAGTTTTTCCTGGTTTCTACTCAGGTGTCATCTCTTCCATGAGCCCTTCCTGGAACACCCGAAGTGCAAAAGCAAAGCGTGCCGCCGCCTCCCCACGTTCCACGCCTTCCCTTTCTCCTCCCAGGGTTAGACCTCAAAGGAGAGACGTGGGGAGTCGAGTCTCTCAGCAAAGGGTTCCCTCCTCAAAGAAACACCTCAAGGCCACTGCCTGAGTGACGAGTGTCATTAGCCCCTTACTTGGCAATGGCGGCACCACCACGGTGCACAGTGGCCCTTGTCAGGAAAGCCCTCGCCACCTCACCAGCTTGCTGTCTCGGGTCACACGACTGCCTCGCCGTTCCCTTCTCAGAGCAGTCAACTCCGAGTTGACACTGAGCGGTTTTCCCTGAATCAAAGATGGGTGACTTATTTTAAAATGTGTTATATACCCCAGGTGTGTAAGCATAACACAGCGAATCGGCACGTTCTGGGGGCCTGTTGGACGAGTTTGCACCCAGCTGTTCCCTCGTAGGTGTGTCCCCAGGGCTGTGCTCAGCAGACTTCTCCAGGGGGGTGGACAGTAGGGGTTCTGGGCTCTGCGGCCCCCACAGTCTCTTTAGCAGCGAGAGACGCCCCTTTGCCACTGTCGTGGGAAAGCAGCCTCTACAGCACATAATCCAGCAGCATCTGGGTTCCAATGAAACTTTGCTCACAGACACTGAAATTTGTATTTCATGTAATTTTTCTGTGCCACCATGTAATGGTTAAAAGACAAAAGTAATTGTTAGCATGCAGGTTGTTCAGAAATGTGACATGGGTGGAGTTGGCCTGCGGCCCCGGGCAGCTGGCCCGTCCAGGGCGGCGCCGTCCATCCGCCCGCCCGTGGTCCCGGTGGGGAGGTCCGGTGTCTGCATTCTCCCCCCGGGAGTTCCTGGGTACCTGTGGCCGCTAAAGGCGGCCAGGGCGATGGAGGAAGTGGATTTTTAGTATTTAATGTTAACATGAGTTTTAATTAATTAGACACAGCCCCATGTGGCTGGTGGCTTCGGTGGTGGCCGGCACAGATTCAGAGAGACTCTGCAGGTGCAGCAGGACCGTGGGCAGAGTGACCCGTCATGGCTCATTCACAGATAGCAGAGACTGGCACTGCGGTGTCATCACACGGGGGCAGGGTGGCCGCGACCACAGCAGGGTCTGCGTGGAGCTGGGCAGTGTCCAGAGCACTTCCCCAGGGCCGACTCCTCGGGTTCATTCCCACTCAGGTTGCAGAGAAGTGACTGCGCCGTCACTGGCTCGGACCCAGGATCGCGACTGGCCTTAGACACATAGGTTGGGCGAGAAGGCAGGACGCAAAAGTTTTATACCATGTGATTGTGTTTTCCAAGCAACACTATTCAGGATGTACAAATATGTGGTAAAGCTATTTTTTGAAAAAAGCTAGGGGATTCAGGCCGTGATGCCTCTGGTGGGGAGAAGGTGCCCCAGGGCGGCCACACTGAGTGGGGGCAGCCAGGCTCCCAACCGCTGCGCAGCCCCGCCCCTCGGGAGTGGTCCCGGGCCAGGTGAGCGGGGCCAGGTGGGCGCGGCAGGGTGGTGTTTCCACGCAGTTAACGTCGTGGCCGCCGTGGCGTTGCCGCCGTGGTGTTGAGTCTGGTTTCAGTTCCCCCTTACACAGATGTTCTGTTCAAAGAACTGTTTCTGCATGTGGCCTGGGTCGTGTTAGAGCCAAGATTAGATTAGAAAACACTATTATTTATTCAGCTCAAGAACAAAGGATTAAAATAAAACCCATTGCTCCAACTGTTTGTTTCATTAATCTGATGATGAACTGAATGTTACCAGCCTCTAACCACGAGAACTGATACTGAAAAGGAAAACCCGAAAACTGTGAAGAACAATGGGTGCGCGTCCAGATTATTATCATTAAAGTGTTCGTTTAACGCCCTAACACACCTGAGGGGTCACCAAACCATAGCAGCGTCTCGAGGGCAGGTCGGTGTGGTTTCGGAAGTCGCGGGGCAGGCGGCGGTAAGTAGGGGGGTTGGCAGCCGGAGGTCCAGGTGTGCAGCCGCGGCTCCGGAGCCAGTTACTGGATTGTGCCCAGCTTTTCCGTGTGATGCGTGCACCTGTGACTTTCCTCCTATTGTTCTGTCTGCGTTCTGTCCTGCATCACTGACATGGGTTTGTCTTTTCTCCTTTTAGAGAGTTTTGAGGTGACAGTCACCGCAGAAGGTGATAAGGGGTTCTTTCTATCCCTCTTATGAATATTAACCCACTAACTTTGTCTGTAAAATTGGGAATCAGCCCTTAAACAGAAGCTGTCATGCTCTTTTGACCCCTTTTATTCTCCTCCTTTGTTTCTATTTTTAAATACATTGATAGAAATTGTACGTAACCAAACCCTTGGCTAGAAATATCTGGAAATCAGACATCCATTTGAACTATATGGATAAGATTGTACATTTTTTCTTAATTGAACTTAAGAGATTCATTCAGTAACCATTTTCTCAGTTGTAAATAAATTTGGAAGAGTTCTATAGTATTTTTATGTGGAATACATTTGGTGAAGTTTTCTACGCACATCAGAATGTTTTTACAGTTGTTCTCCCACGGGCAAGAACGGAAACTCAGATTTTAACTCCTCACGGAGCTGGTAAGCCGGCGCAGAGGCACGCAGTTCCCAGTCAGGCTCCCTTCCCAGGTCTGGCAGGATCAAGTCCGAGGCGAGGGCAGTCCAGCAGGTCCCTCCCCGTACGGGACACCGCCTCTTACTGGTAGACACTAGCTGTTGAAATGGATGCCTGAGAAGTTGGTATTTCTACCTCTCGTTCAGTAGTTTGCTTTGATTCCCTAATTTTAGCCAGGCTCATTGCACAGGAAGACTTGTTCCTCCTGATTTTTTTTTGACAGACTTTCTATAATTTTGGTGCTGAACCTATATCTCACGCTGCTTCTTCTCTTGACACCTAACTGTGCATTTTGTAGCCTCTCCTCTGGTCCAAACCAGAACAGCCGCCCAGCTCTTCGCAGTGGCCGGGCAGCCTCTCGGTGTGGCCAGGCCCGGGCCGCGTGCTAACGAGCTCACCTTGACCCTGGGGCTGTCCCAAGTTCTCCTGTGAAATGCCTGTCTGTACTTCCTCTTTCTCTCTCGTGCTCCTGCATGAATGGATGCAAAGTTAAACCAGTCGCTTGGAAAGCCAAAACATGCTTCTTTTTACTAAAGCCCCAGAACTGACCCTGTTACAAAGCCCAGCGCCCCCGCATTGTCCACAGACCCTCTGAACCCCTGGCTGCCGAATTGTTGTCCTTGATTTTCTTTGGGGGACGGAGGGTGGGAACCAACTCCGCACACAGGGCCTGTGGCAGCCGCTCTAACCTGCTCTGCTCCGACCCCCCAGGTGAGATTTGCGGGTTTAAAATCCATGGGCAGAACGTCCCCTTCGACGCGGTGGTGGTGGACAAGTCCACGGGCGAGGGACTGCTTCGCTCCAAGGAGCAGCTGGACTGCGAGCTGCAGAAAGACTACACGTTCGCCATCCAGGCCTACGACTGCGGGAGGGGGCCCGGCAGCGGCGCCAGCGTGAAGAAGTCCCACAAGTAAGCAAGCCGGCCGGGCGGAGGGCGAGTGTGAAGACGGTCACAGCGACCTTGAGGCACCGTCCCCAGGGCCTCACGTGCTCTTGAAATAGAAGATAGTTCTGCCCAGCCCGTCGTTCTGCCCAGGAAGCAGTTGGGTCGGAGACCCTCGTCTCCGGCTACCAGCCAGGCCCGGGCACATAGCAGTTGCTGAGTTACTGAATACAAGTAATTTTATCCCACCAGATGCGCCAGTCAAGGAACCCAGGCCCCACCGTGAGAATACGGGAAGCCTGCTTTGTCCCTAGAAAGATATTTTCTAGTTACATTTATCTTTCGTCTGTAAGTTCTGGGGGCTTGAAATTTGCTGGAGCTGGTGGAGGAAAGCTGAGGGCGGTGCCCTGCCCAGATGCTCAGGTCTGGCCGCCAGGGAGGACCGCTGGCGAAATGGGGGCTCTGGGCAAGGCAGGGTCGGGAACGCCCGTCTGCCCCTGCCCTGCCCTCCGGCATCAGGCAGATTTAACCTTGTCAAGTCTCAGTTTCTGCGGGGACTTGGGAAAGGGGCCTGTGGGTGAGGCGATGTCACGTTGCCATTGTGAGGGTCTGGGTGGCCGGCGGCGCTGGGCAGAGGGTCTCGGTGCGCGTCGGGGTGCCGAGTGCCGGTGAAGCACTGTACCTTCTACACACCGCTGTCCTCGCCAAAGGTCCGCCTTCAGTCAGGGACCTAGTCCGATGGGACCTTGTCCCATGCACACCACGGCCTGACCAGCAGCCCCTAAGGCCAGCGGTTTTCTGTCTCGGGAGCCTAGCCCGACAATGCCTTTGTTTTCTCTCCCCCGAGCTGGGGAGGTGGAACCTGGGCAGGGCAGCGCTGAGGTCCCGAGTTGTTGGATCGACACTGGCCGTGTCCCAGCCATGGGTCCCTGGCGGTCTCTGCCCCTGGAGGCTACATAGGACTGGTTTCCTGTCCCCCTTCTCTCTCTCACCCCTTCTTCCTTTGGCTGTAGTTGCTTCCCAAGTCTGCAGCAAAGTCTTTCCAGCCTCGAGACCAGGCAGCTCTCAGGTGTTCGGTGTCGCTTGTCTTCCTGCTGTGCGGCAGGCACGTCCCACGTTGTCAGAGGAAATCCCGAGATTCTCTGACTTCATGTGGCTGCGCTCCTACGTGCTGCCTTATTCCTCTTTTAACGTCTGTTGTCTCCGCGCTCAGTTAAAAACAGCAAATTGAGCTGTTTAATTTTACCTTTATCATAAAAACTTAATGAAAGATACCAGGAAAACGGCAGATTTGGGGGCGATAAGAACAAACCCAGCCCACGGCCCCTTGTCGTCCCCCAGAGCCACCGTCCACATCCAGGTGAACGACGTGAACGAGTACGCGCCTGTGTTCAAGGAGAAGTCCTACCAGGCGACGGCCGTGGAGGGCAGGCGGCACGAGAGCATCCTGAGGGTGGAGGCCGTGGACGCGGACTGCTCGCCGCAGTTCAGCCAGATCTGCAGCTACGAGATCGTCACTCCGAACGTGCCGTTCACCGTGGACAAGGACGGTGAGGGCAGGGCCGAGGGCCCCGGACCTGGGGCGGTCCAGGCAGGCCGTCCCGCAGATGGGTGACGCGGGCCAGCTGGGCGGCTCCAACAACAGACGCTTACAGCTCACAGTTCTGGGCCCGGGAAGGCCGAGATCGGGACGCCGGCCCCTTCAGGGTCCCTCAAGGGCCTGCCTCCTGGCTGTGTCCTCACACGGCGGGGAGACAGGGCACTTTGGTCACCAGCTCTCCTAATGAGGACACTAGTTCCAGTGCGGGGCCTTCCCCTCACGGCTTCACCTCACCGAAGTTCCCCTGGGGCCTTGCCACCTCAGACCGTCACGCTGAGGGTGAGGGCCCAGGAGCACTCCAACCAGAGCGGGGCCTGGTGGGGTGTGTCTGTTTCACGGTCAAGTTGTTCCTCTGCCCCTGGAGGCCTGTGTGTTCTGGTGGGACGGTCCATCTCCCTTTCCCATCAAACTACTAAGAATCCCCGCCTCGCCCCCGTCAGGGTGCGTCCAGAGAGGGCAGACCTTTCCTTGGCCCCGCTCTCTGGTCTCCGTTAGACTTGGGTCCTCTGCCTGTTCTTGAAGGTGAAGGTTCATGCCAGTCCCCTGCCCTCCTCAGTAATGGGACAGCATCTAGAGTGTGACCCCACCAGGGTGCGGTTTCACGGTGGTACAGTGTCTCCATCGTTAACTCACAGTCCAGGATCTTTGCTGAAATCGTGTTCATGGTTGAAAGCAGGCTTCTCTTCTAGTAGATGGGGGTAGGAAATCTCTAATAAAGTGAATCTTCTAGCAGGAAGTGTTTAATATAGCTTGATCTTGTATTTACCACTTGAAGAACTTGAATTATTTTGTCTTTTTCATTCTCTTAATACGTACACCTTAAAGTAAATATAGAAACCAAAACCACCTGCAAGAATAAGTGGAGCCAGGCCATGGGGGCCCTCGGAGGCGGGGCCGGTGTTGCGCGTGGGAAGGGCAGCTTGCTGCCACCCCAGGTGCAGGCGGGTTCCCCGGCCAGCGCGCACTTCGTGTTTTGGCAGAGGACAGCGGCGGTGCGGGCCAGCACGGGCCTGGGTTCTCACTGTCGTTCCCCCCCCTCCCCGGGAAGGTTATATAAAGAACACGGAGAAGCTGAAGTACGGGAAGGAGCACGAGTACAAGCTGACGGTCACGGCCTATGACTGTGGGAAGAAGAGGGCAGCCGAGGACGTGCTGGTGAAGATCAGCACCAGGCCCACCTGCACCCCCGGCTGGCAAGGTGAGCTCCGTCCTTGGCTCGGTGCTCGCCCTGCTCTCCAAACCCGCGCGGCCCGGCGACCTAACGCGTGCGTTTCCTCCGGGCCCTGCAGGATGGAGCGACCGGGTGGAGTACGAGCCGGGCGCGGGCGCGCTGGCCCTCTTCCCCAGCCTGCACCTGGAGACGTGCGGCGAGTCGGTGGTCTCCGTGCAGGCGACAGTGGAGCTGGAGACCGGCCACATAGGGAAGGGCTGTGACCGCGACACCTACTCGGAGAAGTCCCTGCACCGGCTCTGTGGTAAGGAGGCCCGCAGTCCTCAGAGCGGGCGGCGGGAGCCCTTGCAGGTGGAAGTGCGTGCGTGTGCTGGCGTGTGATCATCAACCAGGACGGACTCCAGCCTTCCCATGTGGCCGCTGCCGCCACACTGGCGAAGTTTCACACTGGGTGGGTTTCAGGGGGCATGCGGCCCAATGAAAGTCTTCAAAACGTTGTGTGTATGTGCATTTTTAAGAACTACGCATGTGGCCCTGGCTGGTGTGGCTCAGTAGGTTGAGTGCCGGCCTGTGAACTGAAAGGTTGCAGGTTCGATTCCTAGTCAGGGCAGGTGCCCGGGTTGCGGTTAAGGTCCCCAGTTAGGGGCATGTGAGAAGCAGCCAATCAATGTTTCTTTCTCACACATTGATGTTTCTCTGCTTCTCTTCCTTCCTCCCTTCCTTTCTCTCTAAAAGAGTAAAATAAATAAAATCTTTAAAAAAAAAAGAACCACTGATTTGAAGATAGTATTTCTCTGAGATACACTGAGAATCATCAAAATAGAAATTATCTACATGGAGGGAGTTTTAAATGAAACTAGATGTCTGTTTAAGGGCTGAAGGGAAAACTGCGGGTAATGCGGTAGCTTTTGGCAAATGGGAAGAAGGAGATAAAAACCGAAGACCCTGCCACCTGGCGTGCAGTTTCTGTAGACTGCAGACCACAGGCTTCGTGTGGGGGGCCACAGGCTCCCCATGTCCAGCATCAGCTGGGGAACGTCTTCTGTTTTATCTCCGTGTGACGTGTGGATGCCTCTCTTGGAAACGCTGTTCCTTGGCTGGCGATAAGGTGCCAGCGACTTCAACGGCCTCCTCCTAACCAGGAGGGCCTCTGTGTCGGGGGCTCCGCAGCGTCAGCTCTGCAGGGACCGTTGCCCGAAGCTGGCCTGCCTTCCCGCTGGCCTCCAGGGCACTTAGGGCTTGGCAGCCGGCATTCATCTGTAGCTGGAAGTCGTTGTGAAGAAGGGGAAAAGCACGTTCTCTGCCAGCTCATCCCAGCGATGAGCACGAGCAGGTGTCCCCTGACACCCGGTCTCCCGGACGCAGTCCAGATCTGCGTGAGTTCGAACCTGGCAGGTATGAGTAAGAGGTCTGGCGTGTTTGCCACTTTAAACTGTGTGTGTAGGTGTGGTGTAGAAAACTTACTTTCTCGTAACGCCATTTTTATGGTATTAAATGAACGTTTTCTGGGCGGAGCAGGGTAAGGGCAGGAAGAACACCACATCCTAGCGCCCACTGTGACGGTCCTTCCTCCTGGGTCGTCTCATGGAATCTTCCCGCCAGGCCTGCAGGCCGTGTCGGCCTGTTTTTACCGAGGGGCCAGTGGAGACGGGGGAGGCTAAGCCGCTCGCCCAAGGCCGCCCTTGGAGGAGCAGCAGAGCCGGGATCCGGGCCAAGGTCGGGTGTCACTTGAGAGACCAGGTTGTTCCAGCTAAATCACACCGCTCCTGGGAATCGAGATGTCAGGCACCAGCAACTAGGAGAGCTCACAGAGTTTTCTGCAGACAAAAAAGATTTTTTTATCCTCACCCAAGGACACACTTATTGACTCTAGAGAGAGGGGAAGGGAGGGAGAGAAACATCATTCCGTTGCCTCTCGTATGTGCCCCAACTGGGGAACAACCCGCAACCCAGGCACGAGCCCGGACTGGGAATCAAGGCTGTGACCTTTCAGTTTACAGGACGATGCCCAACCAACTGAGCCACGCCAGCCACGGGTGACAAGGTTCTTTAAAAATTGCGTTTTACATTATATAAAAGAGTTGTAAATTTTTTGTGCTTTTTTAAAAAAAGATTTTATTTATTTATCTTTAGAGGAGAAGGGAAGGAGAGAGGGAGAGAAACATCAATGTATGGTTGCCTCTCCTGTGTCCCCTACTAGGGAACCTGGCCTGCAACCCAGGCATGTGCCCTGACTGAGCTACACCAGCCAGGGGCTGTGCTTTTCTTTTTGGCATAGTAATTGCATTTCTGGGAATTTGTCTGTGGGAATAATCATGCAGACATGCAGAGGTGCTCCTCGAGGCCAGGGCGGCCTCAGCCCCCAGAGGGCAGCTCAGTGAGCGAGGGTGCGTGGATGTGGCGAGGTGCGAGGCAGGCGTGTTCGGCTGTGCTGTGGAAGAGTGTGCGTGGGGCGTGTGTGTGCATGTGCCCAGGGCTCCACTTCTGTAATGTGCGTGTATTCGTAAAGAACTGGAAGTGCTTGCACATAGGTGGTAATCTCAGATTACAAGTAACACTTCTTTTTCACTTTCTAGCATTTAAAAAAAACTCATGCTTATTATTTAGGAATTTTCCTGGTAAAAAAAAACCTTCTTTTGTGAAAAGTAGAATAAATCTAGCAAACCGTGAGCCCGATGACAAGGACCGTGTGCGGGCGTGATTGTGCAAGGCTGCCGTGCCCTGCATGCTCTTCGCACACCGCCTACCGAGTGTCACCGTGCTGTTTCAGGTGCCGCGGCCGGCACTGCCGAGCTTCTCCCGTCCCCCAGCGGCCCCCTGAACTGGACCGTCGGCCTGCCCACCGACAACGGCCACGACAGCGATCAGGTCTTCGAGTTCAATGGCACACAGGCCGTCAGGGTCCCCGACGGCGTCGTTTCCGTCAACCCGAAAGAGCCGTTCACGGTCTCTGTGTGGATGAGGCACGGGCCCTCTGGCAGGAGGAAGGAGACGATTCTGTGCAGCTCGGACAGGACAGGTTGGTGTTGCTCGGAGGGGTGGGTGCTTCTGCAGCCCCTGCCGTGGCCGACGGAGGGGGCACCTCCTTCCCCCAAAGGCTCCCAGGGGCTCCCAGTGCATTGTTCTGTGCTTTGCACCAGGGCACCCTGTCCTCGACCTATTGTCCCGATCTTTGGGCTTTTGATAGTAAAAAACCCAAGCATATTTGTTTCAACCTCTGCCTTGGCCCAACCAGAGAGTTCGTTAATGCTGATAAAGCCATGTCTTCAAAATCCATTAACGGAATACTTTTAGTTCTTTAAGGTCTTAAGTTGGCAATTTGCTAGTTGCATTTCTCTCTGCAGATATGAACCGGCACCATTATTCCCTGTTTGTCCACGGCTGCCGACTCGTTTTCCTCCTCCGTCAGGACCCTTCGGGAGAGAAGAAGTACACGCCTGCAGAATTCCACTGGAAGTTGGCTCAGGTGAGTGAGGGGGGGACTCCCTGACTCAGCTCTTTTCAGAGAGACGAGTGACATGGGGTGACCTTGCACAGGCCTTGTGGCTTCTGGGCAGCATATTATTTTTTTTTAATTTTTAAAAATTGTTGACACTATTACAGATGCCCCCACCTCCCCCCTGTTTTCTCCCCTCCACCACCCCTGCGCCGGGCAGAATATACTTGTGATTTTATGATTTCTGTGTCTGTGGGTCTTAGGATAGCAAACTAAATCCATTGAACTCCTTCCCACTGAAAGCCTAAGGGTTTTTTATGTATATGTCTTTTATACATAAAGTACTCACATAAAGAAGTTATATATGTAAATTCAGAAGACTGTGTCGTAACTTCCTGAAAAAGCAGCCCTTGCTTAGAGACTGGGATTGAGACCCTTGCCTTTATTGACCTGTTAGTCAGGGCTTCCCCAGACGGTGCCCAGGAGCCCCGGGGGCCTCGGCCAACGCAGGGGCAGCACCGAGGGGAGGCTGACGGTTTCCAGGAACCGGCGATCTGGACCGCTTCCGGATGGTGAGGGCACCACGAGCTCGTGGGAGTTTGCAGTTTTAATACCGCACGTGTGACGCGCCTTTTGACAAAGTCATGTCTTTGCAAAGCTGCCTTCCCAGCAGCTGCTGTGAGGTATCACACGAACAAAATGGACTTGTTGCAGGAAGCCAGGGGGTGCGGAAGACGGAGAGAACCTTTTCATTAAAATCACAGCAGATCGTTTCTTGTCTTGGTTTGGGGTGGGGACAAGAAGGAGACCTTTGTCCTTAGCTTAGTTTTTTTGCCTCGTGGAGTAAGTGGGCAAGAGCGAACCTGTGCCTGCAGTTGACGTCTGGAACGGTGACATCTGGAATGGTCCCAAGGTGGATGAGTAAGAGTGTGAATGAGAAATGGGAGAAGCCCGGGGTCGTGGAGAGTGGGAGGGACCCATCCGGTCGGCCGCGTTCATCTCTCACGGAGGAAATTTCTGTTTACATGGGCCGTTTCTTTCTTAGAGACTTTCGTCTTAAAGTTTTCCAAGACGCTAAAGAAAGGTATGGCCCAGAAGAAAATTGTTTTGCCCCGCAGGTAAACACTGTAGGTACAGTTTCTTGGCAGCAACCATAGTCTGCACTTGGGTATTTAGTGTCTTCTGGTCCCATTTTTTAGAGCTTCATTGTGGGAAATGCCGGGCGCATGCAGACGGGGATGAATGAGTGTGAGGGGTGGCGTGCACACCCGTCGCCGCCCATGGCGGCTGTCAGCTCTCGGCCAGGCCTGTCCCACTGTCCCCCGCCCTCTGCTGGCAGCTGTCCTCACCCCCCAGACAGCTGCTTAGTGGATTCTGAGCAAACCCCAGCACGGCATTGGACTCCATGTAGAGATAGCGAACTGTGTGTCTCTGAATGACAAGCGTAATCACAGTACTTTTTCACACCTTAAAAGTCTAAACAATTCTTTCATATAAATATGATTTCACTGTTTGTGTAATCTAAAAATATATAAACAAACAGAATAAACTCATAAAGAGAACATTTTGATGGTTGCCAGATGGGAGGGGGAATGGATGAAAAAGGGGAAGGAACGAGGAAGTGCAAGTCGTCACTGGTAGAAAGAGTCTCGGGGTGTGAAGTACAGCAGAGAGGATGGCGGTCGAAGGTGTCGAAATGACCACGTGGTGCGAGGTCGGGGCTGGACTTACTGGGGTGACCGCTTCCCAAGTTAATGTTGTGTGTTGATGTTCAGTCACTGCCGTACCCCTGAAACTGGCACAGTAGGGAATGCCAGCTGTCATTGAAAAATTAAAAATCATTAAAAAAAATTAACAGTCCACCCTGGCTAGTGTGGCTCAGTGGACTGAGCGCCGGCCTGCGAACTGAAAGGTGGGTGGTTCGATTCCCAGTCAGGGCACATGCCTGGGTTGCTGGCCAGGTCCCCAGTTGGGGGTGTGCAAGAGAAAACCTATCGATGTTTCTGTTCCTCTCTGTCTCCCCTCTCCCTCTCTCTAAAAATAAATAAATAAATAAAAACTAAAAAAATAACAGCTCCTTAATCATTGGATATCCAGTGGTCAAATTTCAGACCATCTTGTACGTGGTTTTGTGTTTACAATTTGTTGATTTGAATTGGTATCCAAATAAGGGCTCATACATTGTGCTTGGTTGATATGCCTTTGGAGTTTATTTTAATTTATAGGATTTTCTTTTCCCTCTTGGAATTTATTTGGTGACAGAATTGGGCTTTTGTCCCATAGTTTCCAGCGGTTTGGGTTTGGCGAAGCACATCCCTGCGGTGCCGCTTATCACGCCCTCTGCCCATGTGGCTGTACCATGATGGCGGGACCTGACAGCCAGTCGGACTCGGCTGCCGTGTCCTTGGCCTGTGACATCTGCGTGTGGTCGCTGCTCTTCCTGCAGTGTAAGCAGGCAGGTGCTCAGGGCCACCAGCTCCCTAGCACTTTGTGTCTCTGGTCCTGGGCTTGCAGAAGGCATGTTCCCCAGGACCGGGTCATAGGGACAAGAATTCCTGAGTTCTTCTTACATGTCATCTGAATAGTTTGTCCGTGGCTTTTACGCTAAAGGTCAGTTTAGCTGGGTATAAAATCTCTGGCTCACATTTAACATGTCAAAGAACAGAAAATCTTTCCGTTGTCTTCTGACAAAACGTTGCTGTGAAAATCTGGCCACAGTCTGATTTCCTTTCCCTTATAAACGCTTGGTCTTTTGTTTGGATTACCAGAGGTAGTCTTTCTTTTCTAAGTCAGTTTCATGCACGTGTCTTGGTTGTTTTGGGTCTGTTTTCCCATATATGTGGTATGCTCTTTTTGTACCTACTTGGAGACATTTTGGTCTTTCAAGAAAGCTGTTTTTACTGTTAAAGTTTCAGTTTTCTTTTCCATTGTGGCGGTTTGCTTCTCCCCTTTTATTGGTGCCCTTGACCTGCTTTCTCTGTCTGCCCCTTCCTGTTTGATTCATTTCTAGATGTTGTCAGCTCATTTCTGACCTGCACCAATTAAGAACTATGTTCATTTATATTTTGTGTCATTTTCTCACATCTTTTTTATACTTTTTTAACGATTTTATTTCTTTATTTTTGGAGAGAGGTGAAGGGAGGGAAAAGGGGAGAGAAACACAGATGTGTGAGAGAAACATTGATCAGTTGCCTCTTGCACGCCCCCAGCCGGGGCCTGCCCGGCAGCCCAGGCCTGTGCCCTGCCCAACCCAGCCACCCAGTCCGGGCTTCCTAACGCCTTAGAGCTCTGAGTACACCATCCTTTCATCTCGTTGGTGGGCATGCCTTTCAGGTATGCTTTCATTATCCGAATGGAAGGGGGCCTCGGAGCCTGCAGACCCCTGTCCTCACCGACAGCCAGGAGGTACACTGGAGACGCCCATTCACAACAGGAACTCAGAGCGCTGTCTGCATGCACGCCATGTTTATGTGGACCATCAACTTGGAATTGAGAAAGAAAATGCACGTAGTGCCGTGTGCCACCTTCTGAGAATGGAGGTGTTTGCAGTTCGATTCAGAAAAGGAAAGAAAGGCCCGCTGGCAGGCCGCAGCAGAGGACGCGTCCTTGCGCGGACGCAGGGCTTTCCTGGTGTCTCCGTCTCAGCAGCAGAGCCAGCAGCTCTGGCCGTGGCGGCCCTGTCCTGCCATGAGTGGGCAGTGTGCCCTCTGGCCTGAAATGCCCTAGGACGGCAGTGTCACCTCAGCCCTTTTGGGTGGGATGTGGTTGGCCGGGATGTATTTTGCTGTTAGATACCTTTTTTAAGTCTTTTCCTTTCTAGGGAGACACGTGTTCCTTATGGGCGACTTGCTCGCCATGTCCGGCTGTCCTGCTGTCATTGGTCGTTGGTCTCTGGGTGAGAGGGGAGGCAGACGATGGGGCTCTAACTCTCCCCTCCCACCTCCCGTAGGTCTGCGATGAGGACTGGCACCACTACGTCCTCAACGTGGAAATCCCGACAGTCACTCTCTACGTGGACGGGGTTTCCCACGAGCCCTTCTCTGTGACTGAGGATCACCCACTTCATCCGTCCAAGATCGACACTCAGCTCGTGGTCGGGGCTTGCTGGCAAGGTATCGGTCAGGGCACCGCTCCCCACACCCCCAGGCTCAGGGATTAAATGATGCCGTCTTCTCAGTGCCTCCCCCTCCTTTCCTTTACCTGGGTGGAGCCATTCTGGGGGCGTGGCCATTCCGGGGGCGTGGCTGGAGCCGTGGGCACCCCCTAATGTTGTGTTTGAGGACTGGCTTGCATCAGCACCTTTCCTGGGAACCGGGAGGGGGCGCTGCACAGGGGGAGAGTGCAGCCGAGGAACAGTTTACCAGTTAATCAGTTCGTTGAAGAGTTTGTGAAGACAGGCCCGGCACAGGGGCGTGACCGCGCTTCGGCCCTGGGGGCTACGCCAGAGGGTGTACCGCTTCACGGCCCAGCGCAGACATCTCCGGCAGGTTGGGAGGGGTCCGTGGGCCTGTCTGCTGAAAGACCAGGGGTGGCTGCCAGCATAGTGACAGCTGCCAGAGTGACAGTGACGTTCACGTGTGCTTTTTAAGTGCTGGTTCCCCTGCGCATTTATCTTATTAATTCTTATCTCGAGTCTGCCGGTGGAAGCTACTTCTGTCCCTGTTTTACAGCGGAGGACGCAAGGCTCCGAAAAGCCGCGAGCCTTGTTCCTGGCTGGGCCACAGCGGCCAGAGGGCCCAGGGCCTGAACCCTGACCCCCCAGAGCAGGGCTTTTAGCCTCTCCGCTGCTGAGCTCTCCCCATTACTAATCTATAAAATAAAATGCATAGGGTTTCAAAGGTGACTGATTAAATTGAAGTATAGTTAGTGCAGTTTGAACAGACTACATGTGTGTAATGGTAACACCCATGCTGCTTTGGCAACGAATGAAAAGCAGGCACCCTGACAGATGGGGCTCAGCAGGTTGGGCATCGTCCTGCAAACCCAAAGGTCGCCAGTTCGATTCCTGGTCAGGGCACAGGCCCGAGTTGTGGGTTTGGTACCTGGTCGGGGCGCATGTGAGGGGTAACCGGACAGTGTTTCTCTCCCATCAATGTTCCTCTCCCTCTGTCTCTCCCTTCCCTTCTCTCTAAAAACATAAATAAAATCTTTAAAAGAAAAAGCAAAAGCAAAGAGCAGTCTTTAGCAGCCAGTCTACTACCTGCCATGACATCAGAGCAGCAAGGGACTCTGATGATTCTGGTGATATCTGCAACAGCGTGACATGAGAGGAAAATACCAGTGACCTCTTGGTGGCAAAGTCGCAGTTTCTGCTAATACCATTGTGGGCTGTGGCTGACCATTTACAATCAACAGAAAACTAAATTTCAGAAGTTAGTAAAAATAAGCATGTAATTTTTCCCATCCACGTTCAGGGATGCCTCAGTCCACTCTCAAGGTCCATGGGCCCCACATTCGCCCTTGCACTTGACCTGTGTTGGGTCACTCCGGGGTGCCACCACCACCACAGGGACCTGCTCAATGGATCTTTTATTTCCTCTCTACTGGGAACATTGCACCATAGATCTGACAAGAAATTTGTAAAAGAGCCTTAACTCCTAAGGCAGCTTTGCTGCTTTTAGGAGACTTTTAATTTCATAGTCTTCCTGTAGATCTTTTGAAATTTTATTTTTGATTTTTAGAGAGAAGGGAGGGAGAAAGAGACAGATAAATCAGTTAGTTGCCTCGAGTGTGCCCAACCGGGGGACTGAACCTGCAACCCCAGCATGTGCCTTGACCAGGAATCGGTTTTGGGTTTGTGGGACGAAGTCCAATCAACGGAGTCACTCCAGCTGGGCTCCTGCAGATCCTTTCAAATGAGACGGTGATTTAGAGGGACTCTCTGCGGCTGACTCCGCATTTAGTTTAGGTGACAGTTCATCTGTGAGGGAGTGGAATGCAGAGACCAAGGGACGAGGAAGAAATTACTAGGGATACAGGAACTTTTTAGTTGCTGTTCTTAAACTTTCGGTTCAAATTTGCTTACCAAATTAAAATTTTTTTTTCTAATGTTACTTTTAAAATGAAAATGTAAGTGCAGACCTAAATGTTGTTTTACATTTGTGGCTCGGGCTAAAATAGACCCTGCGTCCCACCCTGCCTGTCTTGGTCCCTGTTCACATCACAGTGCTTCTGCCATCAAAGGGCAGTTTCCACCTCAGTCCTCAGCATCCTCAGCCAGAAAAATCTGCCTCAATTCCCAGACCAAACACAAATTTTGGCAATATAATTGGCAGGGAGGAAGATTTATTCTCCCTTTCAGAGGATTTGAAACCCTTCCCTTCGGGACTCAGCATGGAGAGCCTGGGCGAGGGGCGGAGTCGTCCCAGAAGCCAGCGGTGCTCCAGGCCTCCCTGGCCCTGACCGCCTTGCCCCCACGCCCACAGGGGCAGGGCCTGGGGGGGCAGGGCAGCAGGATGTTTAGGCCCCCAGACCCGGAGCTCCCGACCGGCCACAGGGGATGGCCTGTCTCCCCGGGGGAATTCCTTAACCTTGGACTCTCCCTTCCTGGTCCGAGAAAGGGGTTGGAAATGCCTTCTTTTCCTTGTCACTTAGAGGTTGAAGTCTAGACCAACGTGAACTTTGTTTTGAGTTTTCAAAAAAGATGTGCTTTTTCAAGCTTGCTGTCCTCCGACCTGTGGCCACCCACTTGTCCCCGTCAGGAAGGACAGCGCTGTGGGGCTGGGAGGTCCCCACACCTGGTCCCTCTGTGGGGTCATGTGAGTGCCTCCCTGGGATGTCTGGCTGGGGGCCAGGGATGAGGAGCTGAGTCAGCACACCTGCTTTGGTTCATTTTATTTCGAATCCAACCTGCATTCGGCCAGGAGGACGTGAGCAGGTAGGGTGGTGAAGACCCTCCTGGGGAAGCGTGCTCAAGGACAGGCTTGCTTCCAGGTGGAGCATGTCCCCTAGGGGGACACGGGAACTTTTCTCTCTGTGTCCTGTAGTTGTTGGTAGCTTTTCAAAACTGACGTTCAAGGTCCAATTTGAAAAGCCTAATAACCTCGTGGTCCTTCTCTGTTGTCTTTGTCTTGCTTCCCTACAGAGAACTCAGGAGTCGAAAGTGACAATGAAACCGAGCCTCTGCCTGTGGCCTCGGCAGGTCGCTGGAATTTTCCCTACGGGTCACTGTTGCGTTTCCTTTACATACGAGACACCGGTTCATCCCATGTTTTGCATGAAAGGCCCAAATTGCATTTTGGCCCCTGACACCATCTCAGCTGCTGCTTCGCATTATTCACCCCCCACCCCCACTGCTTCGTGGGATTTCCCTTCCCGTATGTCCCCCTCCCAACCGAAGGGAGCGAGTGACGCCTCGCTGCAGCGCACTGGCGGGACCTTTCTTTCTCTCAGAGGGTTTTACCCTGCGCCCACCGCCTGAGGCTCGCTGCCGAAATCTGGGCTGGGGCAGGGGCGTCTCCTGGTGCTCAGGTGGCTGAACCACGAGGCAGGAGGAGACTTGGTCCCAGATACTCTGAGCACGACTGCCACTAAATTTTAAACGTGTTTCTTAGAAATCTCCATTCGTAGTGGTGATTTGTAGTGTCTAGTGGCCTCCTGGGGAATGAGAGCTGATGCCGAAATTCCGCCTCGTCCCCCTCGTCAGCGCAGGGGCAAGGTGCAGCTTCACGTGGGCTGCGGCCTGTCAGGCCCGATTCCGGGTTTCTGTGTTTCTTCTGACACCTACGTCCCAGGCACCCTCCGTAGCAGGCACTGGGCATGACAGTGCCGGACACTGTGGCCCCCGAGGGGCCTAATCCGAGGCTTGTCACTGGGGGGGGTTGTGAGTGTCCCCTTACTCTGGCTAGTCATGTATGTAGGTTCCCCCCAAGTTTGTGCACCTCCCTGGGCCTGCTTGGGAAAGTCGGCCCAGAGTGTGAACCAGCTGGCTGACCAGATGGGCTGAAGAGGCTGGTGCTAGTGCGCTATGTCACTAGTGCCCGACGGTAACAGGTGTGGGCTAGGCCATTCTTACCGATGAGTGGCCAGATGTGTGTGGACACTCATGGGACCTCTTGGCTTGCAGGCTTCGGGTGAGGGACTCCCGAGTCCTCTCTCCTCCAGGCCACATGCATGATCACAGACAATTTCATTCCTTCATTACGCTTCCACGTAGATTGCCAGGCTAACGGGGTCGGTCTGAACTAACCCGCATGTCCATCCATCGAGCTGCCACCACCAGTAACACTGGGTTGAGGATGAAGCGGGAGGCTCTGGGCCACACCCCTAACCACCTGCCTTCTCCTTCCCGCCGTGTTCCAAAGGTGGCGACCTGCACATGACCCAGTTTTTCCGAGGTGACCTGGCTGGCCTGACGATCCGTTCAGGGAAACTCACAGACAAGAAGGTGATCGACTGTCTGTATACCTGCAAGGAAGGGCTGGACCTGCCGGTCCCTGAAGATGGCGGCAGAGGCGTAAAGGTAACACTGGCATCTGCCGCGCAACATTCGAGGAGCTGGGCTGCAGGCGCGGGGTTGATCTATGACTTCTCCCGAGCTGTCTTCACTCCCGAAACCCCTGACACAGAATTCGGGGGTTTTCCTCTCACGCCAGCCCGTCCCCCAGCTCATCCCCCAGCTCATCCCCCAGCTCTCTGGACACCAGCCCTCCAGGTGCCCCTCAGTTCAGTTCTGACGCCACCCGGATTCAGCTTCAGACCCCACAGGTGGAGGGCTCAGTCCCACCATGCTGCTACCACTTCAGATGGCAGCTGCAAGGGTCTGGGCCCTCGGTTACCTGCTGTTCCGTAGGACTTGGCTGCGAAGTCGAGGGTTCCCATGATCTCCACACCCTCCCCCTTTTTAGGAGCAACAATTTGCTAGAGCTGCTCAGAAAACACTTCACTTACTATTACCAGTTTATTATAAAGGATAGCCATCAGGAAAAACTGAATGGAGGAGACGCACAGGGCAAGGCATGGGGGCTGGCACACGAGGCTTCTTCGCCCTGTCCGGGCGCACTGCCCTCCCAGCCCCGCCCATGCTCACCGGCTGGAGCACCCGAGCACCATGGTTCAGGGGTTTTATGGAGGTCTCACGTAGGCGTGATTAAGTTATTGGCCTCCATCTCCAGCCCCTCTCCTGTCCCCATAGCTCAGGGATGGGGATGGAAGTTCCAACACTGGTCACAGGGTTGGTTCCTCTGGCAACCAGCTCTCATCCTAAAACTATCTAGGAACTCTCCCCCTCGCCCCCACCAAGAGTCTCCTCATTCACCCAACTTGGGGGTGGTTGCAGGGGATTTACTATGAGTAGTAAAAGGTGCTGGCCGCCCCTGTCACTCAGGAAATTCCTAGGGTTGTAGGAGCTCTGGGCCGGAAGCCAGGGGCAGAGACCAAAGGCACCTTTCTTACACCACAGATGCGTTTGCACCTTCCAGTTGCTGTCGCAGGGAGAGGGTCTCGGCCCCAGAATTAGATGCATTTTCTTCTCCGTGTCACAACTGATATCGATCCCCGGCTCATGTTCTCTTTGCCAAAGCGTTTGTGATTCCAGCCTCTCACAGTCGGAACTTTACCCGTCTCTCCCCGTTGGGCACGATTTCAGATCCAAGCCAACCCCAGCCAGTCGGTGTTGACTTTGGAGGGCGAGGACGTGGGGGAGGTGGAGAAGGCCCTGCAGCACCTCGCCTACCTGAACTCCCGGCAGTTCCCCACCCCTGGGATCCGGAGACTCAGACTCACCAGCGAGGTCAGGTACGTGAGGTCCTGCACAATGAGCCCGTCTGTGCTCGCTGACCCCTGGGGAGAAAACGTGTGCACTTAGCTTTCTCATGCAGCCCTGCCTCCTGCTGAGGAAAAGTGAGCCAGAAAGCTAGAATGATGCTCGTTAATGCTGTTCGGCAGCGCGTCTGGGAGTGGCTGCTGTCCCGTGTGTTGGTGGCGGCCCTCGCGTGTGCCGCCCCTGAGTGCCTCTCAGAGCCGCATTCCGATCCCTCCCCTGTCGGCAGGTGTGGCAGCGAGGCCGCCTGCATCGAAGTCCCCCCGGTCGACGGCTCCGTGATGGTTTTGCAGCCGGAGGAGCCCAAGATCAGCCTGAGTGGCGTCCACCACTTTGCGCGAGCAGCGTCCGAGTTCGAGAGCTCAGAGGGGGTCTTCCTTTTCCCCGAGCTGCGGATCATCAGTACCATCACGAGAGAGGTGGAGCCCGACGGGGAGGGGGACGAGGACCCCACAGGTAACAGTCCCTCTGCCTGGGACAGTCACCTTGCCTTGGCTCAGCCGAGCGGCTGAGAGAGCCCTCTGCTGCGCCCGCGTCCTAGGCCCTCCCCTTCGGGCATTTTGGGAGGTTTGAGTGTTTGGATGCTTCTGGAATCTGGCCCGAGGGCAGAGCTCATTACGATGTTTGGAAACCCACCGGGAGGGTCCTTCTGCTTTCTGCCTTGGCGGTGGGAATCGCACTGCAGCCTGAGCAGATAGTGGGGATGGGCGCTGCTGCAGGGGGTGCTGTCAGTCTGCTGGCCCGTCACCCTGGGAGGACAGGCCTTCCCGGTGGCTGGTCCTCCGAGACACACAGAGTACCCCCCTTCCTTGGAGGTGCCTCTCCTGTGCCCCTGTCATTGGTCCTTACAAGGGCCCCACAGCCGCTGCAGCTTCCGACTGGGCTGTTTTTGCAGTTCAAGAGTCGCTGGTGTCTGAGGAGATTGTGCACGACCTGGACACCTGTGAGGTGACGGTGGAGGGGGAGGAGCTGAACCCCGAGCAGGAGAGCCTGGAGGTGGACTCGGCCCGCCTGCAGCCCAAGGGCATGGAAGTGAGCCACTCCGACCTAGGTGTGACCTTTACAGGTGAGAGGCCACAGCACCCCGCAGGAGCCTGAGCCGTTCCCCTGCCCTCTCCTTGTGCCCCAGGACCTGGAGAGCGTCCTGGAGGAGGTGGGAAAGGGGCCAGTTCCCAGGGTCAGACGATGAAGTGCAGGCACTCCCTGCCTTCTGTCCTGTGCTTAGGAGGGGGCAGAGGTCAGGTGAGTGGCATGTCCCCTCAGGTGGGAAAATACCCCGCACACCTGGAGTTCGCTCCTGCAGCTGGAACGCCAGAACACCTGACCACTGGCTCTGCTGGCCCCGGTTCCTGACTCCAGCCCACCTCTGCCCGGGCCCTGCTGTGTTCCCAGCTTCAGCCCCTGGCCCTGTTCTCACCCCCACACTGCAGGCGTGGACACCATGGCCAGCTATGAGGAGACCTTGCGCCTCCTGCGCTATCGCAACTGGCACTCCAGGTCCTTGCTCGACCGGAAGTTCAAGCTCGTGTGCTCCGAGCTGAATGGACGCTACGTCAGCAACGAGTTTCAGGTGGAGGTGAGTGCCAGGCTCTGGTGGAGAAGGGCCCCCTTCCTGGCCCTGGCAGTGGCAAATGCTGATTTTTTGAGCATCTGTAGTAGCAATGACTTGGCTTTACCCCAGAGTATAGCCTTATCCAGCTGGGGCTGCTGCTGGTTAGACCAACGCAGAGTCTCAGGTCACAGGTCACACAGGGTGGCTGGGGTGCTCCCCCGTCACAGGCTGCCTCAGCCTGAGGCAGGGGGTCTTTGGAGGGAGGCGGTATGGAGTGCGAGGCAGTGAACGCCCCGGGGAGAGGGCTGCTGGCACAGGGGCCAGCACTGGGCAGGCCTGCTGTCACCAAGCCTGGCACTGGTGACTCGAGCCACGGCAGCCAGAGGGCCTTGCCCTCCTCTGAGTCTTCTAGGGCCTACAGAGCAGCCTTTATCACTTGGGGCCTCTGCCATCTGGACAAACAGGCCCAGAGTCATTCTGACACTCGATGGCTCACATCCACCGGGCCTCCTGGCGGCAGGAGGCTCAGCTCCTGTGAGGGAGAATCGATGAGTTTTGTCTGAGCCAGAGGGCAGCAAAGTAAATGGTTACCATGTGTGCTCTCCTTCCCACATGAGGCTGTGAAGCCAGGGAAGAGGAGCCATGGTCTCAGACAGAGCTGCTTAGACACGACCCGTGGGGAGGGCCCAGAGCTGTCCCCTGTTCCTCCCCAGCCTGCTGTGCACAGGTTCTCGTACACAATCCAGTGAAGATGAATTACTTGAACAGCAGTGTATTCCTCAGGTGTGCGACACTGTCACAGCAGTTTCTAGGTGTTTGCCCTTGGTTTTTTCTGTCCTTCCCTCATCCACTCGCCAGCGCCAGTGCAGTGCCCCACTGTGCCAGCCCTGGGCCAGCTGGTCCGGCCTGCAGACACCTGCAGGCTGCTGCTCTCTCCCTGCCGCAGGTGAACGTGATCCACACGGCCAACCCCGTGGAGCACGCCAGCCACCTGGCTGCGCAGCCGCAGTTCGTGCACCCTGAGCACCGCTCTTTCGTCGACCTCTCTGGGCACAACCTGGCCAACCCCCACCCATTCGCAGGTAGGACTAGGGCCCTCCCCGTCCCCGTGGCAGCCCAGCCCAGGGCAGGTGCTGTTGGTCTGGTCACCCAGGAGATGGAAGCACTGACCTGGGCGTGGGTTCAGCTGCAGCCCTGGGTTTGAAAGCCACGCTGAGCTTTCGTAACGTTTCCTCGGGCTCTCTGGAAGTTCCCAGTGTCTGGAGGAGGCCAAGGACACGCAGGCCCTCTGGGCCAGGGTTCACCGTCATGGCCCCCTGCTGTGTGTCTCGTTGCAGTCGTCCCCAGCACGGCCACCGTCGTCATCGTGGTGTGCGTCAGCTTCCTGGTGTTCATGATCATCCTGGGCGTGTTCCGGATCCGGGCTGCTCACCAGCGTGCTGTGCGGGACCAGGACGCCGGCAAGGAGAACGAGATGGACTGGGACGACTCCGCCCTGACCATCACCGTGAACCCCATGGAGGTAGGCATGAGCACCCCGCACGCAGGCCAGCCCCGAGCTGGGCTCGCCTCAGAGGAGAAGCGTGGCCACAGCACGTGTGACCTGTGCGGTGGCTCTCTGAGGTAATAGGTGTCCAGTTTCCCGGGTGGGTAAACTGAGGCCCGGAGAGGCCTTGCTTGAGGTCATGCCACCCAGTGCTCCTAGAGATGCTCCGCCCCCACGTGCAGGCCCTTGGGGGGGGGGACCGGAGCTCTCATCCTCGTTTAGTCTCTGGTGAGGCGGCTCCAGTGCGGTCCAGCCCGTCCCACTGTGGAGTGAGACACATGGTCCCTTCTCCCGGCTCGCGGACGTGGCCTCATGTTGGACAGTTGGGTCCTGAGCTGGGGTGGGGGCCAGCAGCCAGACGTACGTGGTGGCTGTCTCTCTGTCAGACCTACGAGGACCAACGCAGTGAGGAAGAGGAGGAGGAAGAGGAGGAGGAAGAGAGTGAGGAAGGCGAGGAGGAGGATGACGTCACCAGCGCAGAGTCGGAGAGCAGCGAGGAGGAGGAGGGGGAGCACGGGGACCCTCGGACCGGGAACAGGCAGCAGCAGCTGGAGTGGGACGACTCCACCCTCAGCTACTGAGCCCTGGCCACGCCCCCTCCCTGCCGGGCCGGGCTCTGCCGGCGTCCCCGCCAGTCCCGAGGGTCCGCAGTGTACAAAGTCCTTCTGGCCAGTGGGTCTTCCGGCCCTCCTGGCCGCCCGTGCTTGGTGTGCAAGACCCCGGGCTCCCTCCCTGCCCCTCCCCCGCCTGGATCTCTGTCACTCAAGGAGCTGACACACGTGCTCTCCTGTCACCTCGCTCCGCGTGGCCCCTCACGCCTCCAGAAACACCAAGTGACTGGATTCAGTGACAGGGTTAAAATCTCTCACTCCCATCTGGTAATCCTTTTGTTCATCTTTTTTTTTTTTTTAATTTTGTTTTTCCAAACTAGTGCATGTATAAAATGGCAGAGTGGGGGTTAATATGTAGATGACAAACTGACTTTTTAATATTTTGTAAATAAATTGGGATTCCTCATGTCCTCTGTGCTAGTGTAACCCAGGACCGGAGTGCAAAGTGTGAGACACTGAGTGTGGAGACCCCGCCCCCTTGGGCACCTGGGACTGTCCCAGCCCCAGGTCTCCATTCCCATTCCCCAGGTGGGGCCAGGCCATTTTCGAGCAAGAATTTGGTGCGCTGCTTGGTGGGAGGGGACCCTGCCTAGAGGCTGGAAATGGCTGAGGCCTGTCTTTGGGATGCCCCGCTTCTCACGTGGCAGAGGGCTGGGCGGTGGGGTCCTGGGGCTCACAGTTAGATGTGCTCTCACACTCCCAGGCCTTAGAGATAACATGGACGGTGCAAACTGCGTGTGTGGAGGCAGCCATGGGCCGTGACCTGGGAACTTGGCGCTGCACGTGGCCAGTGGCCCCAGTCAGACTCAGACTCCCTGCAGCAAGCAGCCTTCAGAAGGCTGGCAGCTGCTCGCCTGCCCGGAGCCCTGGGGAGGTGGGGGGAGGGGGCCCCTCCCAGGAGGGGGCCCTGCTGCTGCTGCTGCTGCTGCTGCTGCTGCGCTCCCCTCGGGGAAGGAGAGGGAGCGAGAGTCGGGAGCTGAAGCCCCTGTAGCACTTTGTTTTTAATTTACATGTAAAGTTTTAGATTTCTAAAATGGGGGGGGTAATTTTGAATACTGTTCTGTCTCCCGCTGCCGCTGTCCCGTGTCCGTGTGGCCTTCCCTCCCTCTGTGCGCTGTCACTGTAGCCGCTCCGTGTAGACCACGGACAGACGCCAGCGCGGGCAGCGAGCCGCCCTCGCTGCCACAGCTGCCGTGGCCCCGCCCCCCCCATGTGTAACTGATGACAGGCCAGACAGTGTCTCTGCTGCAATAAAGTTCTGGTTCTAACTCCAGCGGGACAGCGTGTGGTTTTTCGTTTGCGCTCCCGTTTCTCTCTGCGCCGAGAACAGGCTGTAAAAGGCTTTTATTCCTTGTCACCTTTCACCTCGTTGCAAGGTTTCACCGCGCGCCGGCCTTCAGCCTGCATCCGCTGTGTTGGACTCGCCTTCCCCGCCAGGAACATGACATGATTTTAAAAAGTAGACGGTTTTCTTCTCACCAGGCACACAGACTGTGCACCCAAATCAGAAATTGCCATGTTAAACAGGAAGGGAGCACACGGACCCCTTTAAATAAAGAAGAGGCACACGGCTTTTCTATATCCAAACGGGCGACTGGGCCTAAGGAGCGCAGCACTTGGCTGGGAATCGGTGTGGTTGGGGTGCTCTAGGGAGCACGGATCACTCCTGGGTGCTCCTCACGGCTGCTTCTGATAGTAAAAGGAAGTTGGCCCCTGGGTTTAGGGCCTTACAAGGCCTTTGTGAGATCAGCAGTGTCACCTGGTGGGCCCTGAGGGTTCCCCAGGCTCGGGTTCCTGGCCCCATCCCCATGACCAACTTCAGAAGGCTGGCAGCTGCCCAGATCTGCCCAAGGCTACCAGTCAAGCTAAATACCAACAGGGGGCGTTTCCTCCACACCCCTAACTCACCCCGGGACCTGATTGTTTGCAGCAGGTTCTTGAGGGTAGAAGTTCTGGAAGAGTCAAATCCTTCCTTAAAACCTGCTTTAAGAGGAAGCTCACAGCCCTGGCCAGTGTAGCCCAGTGGATTGATTGAGCGTGGGCTGTAAAACACAGGGTTGCCGGTTTGATACCCAGTCAGGGCACATGCCTGGCTGGTGGGCAAGGTCCCTCAATGGGGACCATGTGAGAGGCAACCACACATTGATGTTACTCTCCCTCTTCCTCCCTCCCTTGCCCTCTCTAAAAATAAAGTCTTAAAAAGGAGGAAGCTCACAGATAATTGCACTAAGTACTCTGACCTGCTTTCCCCTTGACCCATGACCAGAATGAGCTAAATCAAGCTCAGATTTTTTTAATACGTCTTGAGGACCAGCATGTGTTATCATAGTTTACCGAGCTGAGGCTGTTCTCTCCAGCCATAGAGGTTCAATGTTTGGATACGTTGTTTCTTACCCGCAAACAAAATCACTTTACAGCAGAGAGATGAGAATTCCCGTACCCAAGAGTCACTTAAAAAGTGGAAAAGCAAGCATCCCTGAATCGAGAGGGCAGAGAACTCAGTCCACAGAGAGCGTGTAGGTGGAGGGGTGAACAGAGACGTGGGCGCTGCGTCTGCACAGCAGGCACCAGGTAACCGACTTGGCCCGAGCCCCGTGCAGCCCCGGGAGCCCTGGGAAGAAGGCGGCTCCCCGGTAGGGATGAGTCTTCCGAGTCTGCATTCACCCGCTGGGGGAGCCGCGTTACGACCCTCTACCGGGTGGTCTCCGGGGACCCCACTTACAGTGTCTCCTCACTCAAGCCCAGGGCTCTGATGGGGGCACTGACGACAGCGTCCCTCCCCTGCACAAAGGATGCATTTCCGTTTATGGCTATTTAGTTCCTGAAACATTTCAAGTCATTAATAAATAACCAGTGTAAACAAAAGGCGGCTGTGAGAGTTCTTTCCCTTCGGGTGCAGCTTGGGCTCGCGGAGCCCGGTTCCCAAAGCCGACGGTCTGCTCGCGTCCGGCCCGGGGCGCGCGGGGCGGGCTCCGGTGCCGCGAGGAGGCGCTGCTACTGCCTGTTGTCTTTGGACACGTTGTGGGCCAGCCAGTTCACTTTGGTCTTCCAGCTCTCGCGGAGGGCTTCGTTGAACTTCACGCGGAAGTGCTTCAGCGCCTCCTCCTCCGTCTTCCCCAGCGCCAGCGAGTCCTGAGGCCGAACCACAAAAGCACTGAGGCGCCTGGGCCCTGCTCCGCGAGGCAAGCCCGCCCGCCTCCCCGGACTTGCTCCCTCTCTGCGCGGTTCAAGCGCCCCCCTGAAAGGACGGTGGGAAGACAGAGCCACCGACGTCTGTCTCCCTTGGAAGAGCTCTTTACTCTAAATAGCTCCCAGACCCACCCGCAAAATCTGGTGCCCACCCGTAACAGAACCGGGCTACCTCCGGCAGCTTCCCCCAGCGCCCACCGCCAGGCCCTGACGCCGCGTGGGGTCCCCCACGCTCCGGGGCAGGGGCCCCTGGGGTCCCCGGGCAGCGGCTGGCGCGCTGGCCCCGGCCTTCACCTTGAGGTACTGGATGTCTTTGGAGCAGCTGAGCTCGGGCAGGCCGGCAGCGCGCATCAGGGCGAAGAGGTGCAGGAAGAGCGGCCCGTGGCGTCTCAGGATGGTGTAGGCTCTCTCGCAGTAGCCGCGGAACCTGCGGGCAACGCGGGCCCTGGGTCCTCCCAGCCGTGCCCCCAACAGGCCCCGGGAGACAGCAGAGCCCCGCCCCAGCCGGCCTCCTCCCGCCGGTCCCCGCAACCTCCGCACACCGCCCCCTCCAGGCCGGCTGACAGCGCCCCCTCTGCACCCCAATGGCATTCCGGCCATCCGAGGCACCCTCACCTTTCAAATTTCTCACTATTATTAGTCTTCCCCTGCTGAATCACGTGGACAAAGTCATAGGTGAGGATGAACGGGACTCGCTCACGGTTGATTCCAAACTTAGTCTTGAAGTTCCCCAGAAAGTGGCCAAAGTCAATGTGGAACAGCTAAGGGAAGGGAAGGGAAGGGCAAAGGCTGAGGAGGAGAGGGAGGGGCTTGGAGCGGCTCCGCCCAGAGCTGAGCGCCGAGCGGGAAAGCCGAGGGCGGGGCCAGAAGGCAGGCAACGCCCCTACCTGCCCGTTTTCGCGGATCATGATGTTGTCGCTGTGCCGATCGCCGATTCCCAGCACGTACGTGGCCACGCAGTAGCCGGCGCAGGACAGAGTGAACTCCTCAATGGCTCTGTCCAGGGCCTCCCTGGGTGGGGGGAGGGTGGATTGGAGACCATGGCCTTCCACGCCTTGCAGCTCTGAGCCTTCCCCTTCACAATCAGGAGAGGCCACCCGCAGAGCGAGGCGTGACTGCCCGCGACGCCAGCGGCCGGTGTGGGATCCCAGCAGAAGACCCATTCTGAGCCGATAATAAGTGGGGGTGGTTTTAAGTCCCTAAGTTCAGGGTGGCTGCTTGCATGGGGGAACAGAGACATACTTCGCCCCAACACCGACGGGGCAGAGTTGGGAAGCCACAGAGACTGTCACAGGCCACCCCTTCACCTTTGACTCCCACACCTCACCTCTATGAACAGAGGAGGCATCTGTCCCTGAGGCCTGAAACCTACCCGGGGTTCTTGGACTTGAGCCAGTTGAGAAGAGCATCCTTGTTGAAAGCGGCCGTGGCTGCCATGTTGCTCTTGTTCAGCTGGATGTTGGCGATGGTGTCAGAGTGCAGCACCACCTCAATGAGGCCCGTGCGGTCCCCGGTGGACAGGCAGCCGTAAGGGGTCATCCTAGCCAGGTGGGAGGAGGGGTGGGCCATGGTCAAGGGCTGCTGGACCCCTGGGGAGCTCCAGAAACCCAAACTAGCCACAGGAGATGCTACTCAAGGAGCAGAAAAGGAGGAAGACGAGCGGCAGCTGTGGAGGGAGGCCTGGGGAAGGCTGCTCCCTGTGGTCAGCACCAGCACCCAAGAGGCGGAGAGAAAGGGTAAACACGTGTTTGTTCAAAGAGAAATGCACATGGCTCAGGAGACAACGGGGCAGGAGCCAGGGACGCTCAGCATGAAGGGAATAATGGGGAGACAGGTGCTAAGGCCGGGCTGGCCTCCATCCCCGTCCTGTGGCCCTACTGCCCTCTTGGGCCCTAGCGCTAAATGGATCCCTGCTCTTCTCAGAACAGCCATTGCCCCTGAGGTGGTGATGTCAGCCCTGGCAGAGACCCCCCCCCAAAAAAGGGACAGGGTCCCAGGCCCAGTGCCAGCACAGATGGCCAACAGGGGGCTCCTCACCTCAGGTCCAACCCCTCCTGCTTCCACAGGATGTCCATGAGCTGGATCATCTGCAGGGTCAGCATGTCCTGGCGGAGGTCTGCACCGCCGGCCCCCGGAAGGACAGAGCGTGAGTTTCTAGCAGGTCCTGTACCCCCAGCTATGCCCGGGCCCCAGCGTTCCTGCACTTCTCCCCGGCTTGCCCTCCAGGGACCCCGAGGGCCGCACGGTGGGGGGAGGCCCGGCCTGCCTGCTCACCGTCCCCGTTCTTAAACATGATGCCCACGCTGCCGTTGCTGCCCGCCTCCTCGTTGCAGTACATGACCCACAGCGGCTTCATCTTGGAGTCCATGAAGGTGCACTGCTCCACGCTGCCAGGCAGAGGGCAGTCAGCCGGGTCCCTGCACCAGGCCTCGGGGGCGGGGGAGGAGGCTGGAGCTGGGGCTCACCAGACTTCAGCCAGCAGGATGCTGGGGTCCAGCGGGGACTGCAGGTGGGAGAGGGCCTCCAGGTAGGTCTCCTGCCGCATGCACAGGTGCATCAGCTCCTTGGCCTGGGGCTTGGGGGTCTTCTGGGAGCTCACTTTGACAAAGTCGTTCAGGGCCTTCAGCTTGCTCAGCGCTTCCCCCTGGCCGGGAGAGTGGGAGGGCAGCATGGGCAGGCCAGGAGGGGCAGGCTCCGAGCCTCAGGCCGGCCCAGGAGATTCTACCAGGGCCTGGCTGACCCTGCCCCAGAGTGGCGCCCAGCCAGGGGCAGGGGCGTGGGGTCCTGAGCCTCACCTGCTTCATCAGCACCCTCATGTGGTGGGTGCTTCCCCTGCAGTAGGCCTCCATGATGAGGCCAAAGCGCAGGGCCACCGACGGCACGTGCATCTCGGAGCTGCAGGGAGGGAGAAGTGGCTGAGTCCTTCCTGGCAGGGCCACAAGGCCCCCTCTCAGCCCGGTCAGGACACCCAGGCCAGCAGGGGATGTGAGACCAGCCGGCCAGCAGTCCCCCTTTCCCATGGCCTTCCAGGGGGACCAGCTGAGTCCAGCTACCGGAGGTGCCAGAAGAGGAAGTGGCCGATCTTGCGGTTGGCCAGGGCCCGGTCCAGCAGGAACTTGGTCAGCTCGCAATCGAGGTAGGACTCGTACTTGAGCACCTGCACCAGCTGCAGCAGGTACTGGAAAAGCTCGTCGTCCCTGCAGGGGTGGGAGGCTGGCTGGGGCCTGGAGCTTCGTGGCTCGGGACCGGGGTCTGCAGCCGGCCAGGGGGCAGGGCAGGGGCAAGAGGCCAGCTTCCCCTGAGCAAGCTCCAGGGAAGGTTCAGTCCTCACCCTGCACCCACTGCCAGGCAGTCAGTGCAAAGCCACCCTCCCCAGGAGGAGCAGGTGCCTGTGGGACTCACGTCAGTTTCCGCAGGGACTTGATGGCAAAGGAGCCCACATGCCGGTCGGGGAAGCTGGAGTCCAGCAGCTCCAGGGCGCTCAGCACAGGCAGCTCCGGCCAGGAGCACAGCAGGTAGAGCATCTGGGGGAGCTGGTGGTCAGGGTGGGGGGCTCCGCCCACCCTGGCTGCCCCTCCTTCTGGGCTCTAACTGCCCGCCCACCTGGGCCACGTCCTCGTGCTTGTTCCACTTGGTGACCAGCAGCAGCCGGGCCAGCGCCTCGGGAAAGTGCTCCTGGACCTCGTGGCGCATCTTCCACACCAGGTCCTTCTCGTGCTCATACAGTTCCCCAGACCCACGCCGCTCCAGGATCTCCCGAAGCTGCAGCTGCTGGAGGTGCAGGGGGATGAGGCTGCAGCCAGCTGCCCACCGGGCTCCGGGCCCTGAGCCCTGCACCCCACCGCCCATGGCCCCCGCTCACCTCCTCCTCGGTGAAGCGCCCGTGTTCCCCGTGCCGCCCCAGCTCCAGGATCTACAACAAGCATCCCTGCTCTCAGTGGCACCCCCAGGGCCTGGGCCAGCCCGCAGGGCCTGGGGGCAGGTGACCACACTGCTGACTCATGGGGCCAGTGACTCTCCTTGGTGGGGACTGTCTGAGGCCTCCCTGGCCTCCACCTTGAGAAGCCGGGAGCATCCCTCCCACTAGTGACAACCAAAACTGTCTTTGGATATTGCCTGAGGTCCCCTGGGGGCAAAGTGGCCTCGGGGTGGGAACCACTGTGCTAGGGCGCAGGAGGGTTCCAGAAAGTCAAGGGAGCCTCCAAATGTGTGGGGTGGCTCAGCCCTCATCCTAGGCAATGCCCAGGGCCCATGTTCTGGGGAGCCCCAGAGTCAGGGTCAGAAAAATTCACTGAATTCACCCCACAGCCTCTGAGCAGGGTGGGCCCAGACCCCAAGTGGGGAGGGGCCTCACCGACCTTATCCAGGGCAGGGTAGTACACGGGGTAGGGAGCCACCTCTGGAAGACAGATGACCAGGGCAGCGGCGCTCTCGGTGTTGGGGTTGCTGCACACGGTCCCTGTGGGGTTCAGCAGCTCCCCTTTCTCGTCTGGACACAAGGACAGATGGGGTTACCTGGGGGACGGCCCCCCATCGGGCACCCCCCTCCCGCTCCTCCCTCTCCTGGTCTGGGCTGACCTGGGACGGAGGGCCACATGTAGAGGCAGTACTCGCCAGTCTTGAGCTGGTCCTTGTAGTCAAACAGGGTGAGGTTGGCCCAGGCGATGGGGCAGTCCTGGGGGAGCGCATGGGTAGTCAGGGCCAGCGCCCGGGTCTCCCCTTGCTTATCTGCCAGGTGGGCCCAGCCTCTAGGCCAGCTCCCCTGCCTGCTCTCAGACTCTCTGGGAGGAGGCCAGCAAATCAGACCCCTCTTGGCTCCCTCCTGTTCCCCACCCCCAGCTTCTGGAGGAACCCCTAAACCAACCACCTCCATCCCAGAAAGCTGGCTGAGCTCAGCGATGGGGGAGTCAGCACGGCTCAGTGGCCAGTCACATCCTGGGGCCCATGACTCAGGGCTCCGCCACTGCTCATTCCCGCCCGGCCAGCTGCTGACTCAGGCTGCCCTGCCGCCCGTGGGGGAGAGAGTCCTTCCACCCCCTGCAGCTGCCTCCCTGTTCCCACGAGGACCGAGGGCCTGAGCCAATATTCTGAATCAAGCCCAGGAACCCAGAACCGGCACATGGCAGGGGCAGCGGCTGGGCTGGGAGGGGCGAAAGGATGGGGTTCTTGGGCTGAGTGGCCCTGGGGCTGCAGGACGAGACCGGGCCCACCCACCGCCTTCTTGGACTTCTTCTTGGTGGAGCGAGCCTTCTTGGCCTTCTCGATCACGGCGTACAGTGCAAAGCAGAGGCGGGCCATGCGCGGCAGGTCGCAGACGTTGATGTCAAACTCCAGGCGCTGCTTCCACACGGGCTCTGAGCACACGCTCACCTCCGAGCTGGACACTGTCTTGCACAGCGTCTCATTGCCGTGAAAAAGCCCAGCCTGCACCACCAGCTGGTGGAGGTGCGGACGTGTTGATTACAGGGGGCAGGGGCCCGGGCCCCTCTCTTCTCCCCTCCCAAGTCCCCCACCCATCTAAAGCCGGAATCTCCTCCTGAAATGTCCACACTCCATGTGGGTCTGAAGCCCACGTGCCACGTGGAAGGAGGAGGGACAGAAGAGAGATGGCCGGCTGCCCGGGCGGGAAGCATGGCCATGGGGTTGGGGGAGCGAGAGGGAAAGGTACAGTGGACTTTGCATGGGGACTGGTCTGGCTCCCCAGTGACTCTGTGGGACCCGAGGGTGTGATGCTGCCTGCTCTGGCCTCAGTTTCCCCAGCTGGGCTCAGGACTTCCAGGGGCCTTCCGAGCCTTAACACCCGCGGTCTCCCTCCACTGCTCAGAGTCCTGTGGCTGCTGTGGCTGGGGAAGGATCTAACGCCTCTGGGACTCTGGGCCCCGCCTCTGCCTGCTCTGCCTCAACAGAAAGCTGCCTGCATCCAAACCTCTGCGATTCTGCAGGGGAGCCCGGACCTGCCTGCTCGTGAAATTAGTTCAAAAGACTGCTCCCCAGAGACCCAACCCCTGTGGACCCAGGTTTCCCATCCTGCAGACAGGACCATGGAACCGGCACCTAGCAGGCTGTCCCAAGGTGACCAAGGCTGACCAAGGGCTTGCCCCCCCAGGGGTCCAGGCACACACCTCCTCCACCCCACCCCGCTCCCTGGGAACCCCCAAAAGGCCCTGAGTCCAACTAGAATGGCTTCTCTTCCAATGACTGGCACCTCCCTGACTGTGGTTTCCACATCCCTGAGCTGAGCCCTGCCCCACAGTCTCCACCAAAGTCAAGTACCCAGAACTCACTGGGCCCAGTTTCTACGAATCGGCCTCTCTGGCCCCCGACCTGCTCCCCTCCCCCCTTCCTGTTTTGAAGCAGCTCACAAGCACCCTGGGCAGGGATGCTGGGTAATGTGGTCAGCCACATTCGTGTGACCCCCACTGCTTCCTCTGCCATCCCTCCAAGGCCACAGCCACCTTGTTTGTGCAAAAAACACCTGCCCCCGCAACCCCAGCCCGGGAACCCCTACCTTCATCCTCTCGTCGGCGTTCACTTTGCTGCCCTGAATCAGCTCGATGCAGAAGGGCTGCTCCAGGGACCACAGGGACACAGAGGAGGGCTGAGTGGGGACGGAGAAGCAGGGCTTTGACAGTGAAGGGATCCAGAGGTGGGGGGAGGGGTTCATGGGGGTGGTGGGAGGGCTGGAGATTTGTGGTGAGGCTCAGACAGGTACCTATGGCCAACTTCATCCTTTACCGGGGAAACCGAAAACCTGCCGTGCAGGTGGTCTAGGGGCCCCACCCGCCCTGAGCCCTGGAGGGCATGGAGTCCTGCCTAAAGTGCAGGAAGCAGGAGGCGTGTGAGCAGGAAGGCAGCGGGGAGCCAGGCCTGGAGGCCGCCCCAGGAAGCTCAGACAGGCCCCCACCCCAGCACATCCAGTCCTGTTGGCTGCCCAAACTGAAAGCCTCAACTCTCAACACTGACCAACAAGGGACGGGAGATGAGGGGCCCCAGAACCCACTGCCGGCCTGGGGCATTGCCCACTGGGCTCTAGGGCTGGACAGCAGGTGGGATGAAGGGACAGACAGGAGGGTAAGTGGGAGGCCCAGCTCACCTTTTTCATGGGAATGGGGGGCGGTTTGGTGCGGGGCTTCTGGACTTGGGGGGCAGGGTTGCTCTGCTCGTCCCGCATGGCCAGGATGGAGGAGGAGTGCACCATGGTCAGGTGAGGGGTCAGCCCGCTGTGCAGGCAGCTGCAGATGTACTGAGATGTGGGGGCAGAGTGAGGGCCAACGGGCAGTCCCAGCCGTTCCCCAGATCGCTGGCTATCTGGGGACGCCCCCTGCTGACCACTGCCTCTCCCAGGCCTTCCTCGCCTCTCCTGCTGGCTCTACCTGGCCTCGCCCACCTCCTGAAGATGGAGCCTTCCTTTTGTTCACAGGGAGGGTCAGCCAGGCCACAGCAAAAGGACACTCTTTCTGTGACCCCCAAAGGCCGGACTCATCAGGTTCAAGAAGGCTAGGGAACCAGCTCCCCAAACCCTCCCCCAGGCCTCTGCGTGGGCTGTAGGGCACCCAGGAGCCCAGGGCTGCTCAGCCCTCAGCCCTCACCTGGAACTGGCAGAGGGGGTAGCTGCCGTACAGGTACTCATGCTTCCCGTTCACCTGCAGGGTGTAGTCCTCGGGCTGCTCCACCAGCGGCTGCCGGAACACCGTGGCCTTCTTCCGGAGGGCACAGGCCATCAGGGCCAAGGGCACGTCCTTGGTAGACACCTGGAAGGTGAAGCTTTCCTAGGGGGAGGAGGGAGGGTCAGGCCTCCGCCCTGTGAAGGGACCACGGGGTCCCTGGGCACAGGGGTGGGGTGGCCTATTTGCAGTATTAGGCCTGTCCTGCCCCTCAAATGGGACTTCCAGGAGGCCAGGATCCGATGTAGGCACAGGGCAACGCCCAGGGTACATTTGGTGAATGAACAGAAAGACCAATGACCAAAAGTGAGGCCACTTTTCTGCCTCACTGAGCTTGCCTGGGGGCGATGTTTGGCTGAGCCCAGGGATGCATGGATATCCCACAAATGCCATCTGATGCTACAGGATAGAGAGTGAATTTGGGGGACTGCAGGGTGACTGGGGGGTTTCGCAGGGGCAGCATCCCCCATGGACCTATAGCGCCAGCAGGAGCCGTGGCTCACCTCACTGCCCTCGAACTTGACGTTGACCAGGAGGGCCCGGTTGGGGACCCGCAGGGTGCCTGCCCCCCAGGTCCGAGCCGATGGCTCCAGCTGCAGGGGGAAGCAGTACTGCAACCAGGCCTCCCAGCCCAGCTGCTGCCGCCGGGCGGCCGCCTCCTCGCAGAACTGGCGCATCTTGGCTCGAAAGTCATTCACTTCCGGGTCGCACAAGGAGTCAAACTCGTGCAGGCCTGAGAGGCAGGGAGGAGCTGGGTCAGCCTGGGGGTTGGGGGCTGGGCCCCAGGGGGACAGGGCATCCTGGAGCACACGGCCCTCTCCGGCTGGGTACCTTTGCCAATGAGGAGGCTGATCTGCGAGTTGATGAGTTTCTTCACCCTGTCGCCCTCTCGGGCCACCAGGCGCAGGACCGGCAGGAAGGGCTGGATATCACAGAGCCGCCGCTGCTCGTCCTCCAGCTCCTGCTGCTCCGCGGTCTGGTTGACGCAGGTAAACACGTAGGCCTCGGGGCCGCTGAGCATGTGGAAGAGCGGCTCATACTGGGCGCGGTGCCACAGCGCCTGAGAAGACAGCCACCGGTCAGCCCCTGCAGCCCGGGCAGGGCCTCGGTCTGGGTGTCTCACCCTGCACGACCTCTACAGGAAGGCAATAATGGCAAGATGCCAAGACCACCGCCTGCTCCAGACCCCTGGGGCTCTGACCATGCGGGCACCGGGGATGTCCGTCACCGCCCTGCTGTGAAGGGTACCAGGTATGCCCCCACACCTGGAGCTGAGTCCCAGTCTCCCCTGAAGATTATTCATTCTGAGAGGTAGCCAGCCGGACATGACCCTCAGGTACCTCTAGCTGATGGTCCCGGGGCTCATCACCCCAACTGGTGAATGCTGCAGCCAGTTCAGAAACGTCTCACTCACTGAGGGGGCCATGAAGCCACCCACGGGCTGTGTGCCACCCAGGTGTGGTACCTCCAAGGGTCACTCACTGGAGAGCCACCCAACAGGCCAGCTTTCGTGCAGTGGTGTCCACTGCCAGTCCCGGGGAGGACCACAGGGAAAGAACAGCCTGAGTTTTCACACGGGGCAGCCATGGCCCACAGCGCAAACAGCTCACGCAGGGGCGGGACCGGGGTCTAGCCACAGAGCGCTCCAGGACACATCAGTGAGAGGAAAACAGCTGGAGCTGTACAACAGCAGAGGCAATTCCGACCCATTTCCTAAATCAGCAATAATAAACATACTAATTACATTGATCAGGGTTCGGCAAAACACCAGGTTACTGGAAGACAGCCATGCCCCCATTTACATACCGTCTAAGAAAGCCTTTGCCGCACACGGCAGAGTCAGTCAGTAGTTGCAACAACGGGCAAAACCTAGAATACTGACTCTCTGGCTGCATAAATAATACATGAAGAAACCGCAGGAAAACTGGGCTGGGAGGGGAGACTGCTGGGACCCACGCGTTTGAAGTGTGTGCCGTGTCTGAACCCGCGCAACTGGGGTGTACAGCTCTGTACCCAGAAAGATAAGGTTAATCTCAAAATGCTATTTACCTAAGCTAACAACATGAAAAAGATGTCATCGTGTTAACCATGAAATAAAAGGACATAAAAGCTCATACACGGAATTTATCCCACGAAAAATACTACACTGTGTAGAAAACAGAAAACGAGACAGTCACGCACGGACCGAGGTCCCCGACATAGCCGGGTCACCGGTCACTGTTTCTTCTGCTTGTTCTTCGGTCGCTAAATCCCAATGTGTCCATATTATTTTTGAAATAGAAAAAAAAAAGATGTAATTTTTACAGAAGTCTCCCAGGAAGGGAAGCTAAAAAACCCCACAAAAACTCATGGAAGGTCCATTGTTTCTCTCTTTTTCCTAAGTAGAGCTTTTAAAATTTGGAGCTAAGGCCTCGCGTTGTGGCACGACCCACTAAATTTCACACACTGCAAGTGGAACGAGCCGGTCATGACCACATACCCTCCACATGTCTAATCTTTTGACTCAGTCATTTACCCGGGAAATTATTCAACAGCGTGGAAGGCAGGACCCATAAAATGAAATTGGTCCCAACAAGATGGCATCGAGTCCATGAAACCCAGTGGGGTCACTCAGGCCAACTAAAATGCACGTCAGTCAGCCAGGACACTTTGGTGCAAGAGGTAAAACACCTAAGTCACAGCAGACACCTCTGGCAAGGAGACGCACCTAAGGTCCCCGCCCACGTGGTCGGCACAGCTGTGTCCGCTGAGTGGGACCACCCATGCACAGGCTCCTGGGGACATGGCAGGCTTGGCATCTAGGGGGCCAAGACGTTTACTGAAAAGGCCCAGAAGGGTGGAGTCCACGCTCTCAAGGTATAACTGAGGCACATTCCAGACCACTGGTCTCCCCTGGCATTGGCTGCCAGAGGCTTTGCCCTGCTGGACTGAGACCTCATCTGCCCGCTGCCCACCCAGCTCCAGAGATCCTTCCTTGCAAGACACTGACAGCTCCCTTGCCCACTGTGCTGTCTCCCGGACCTGAAGACTGAGACTCTGGGACTCGGGTTTGCTGCCCTCATCGATTGCTATGTGTGTGTGATGTTTCCCTTAGATTGTTAGAGTATGAGCAGGACATTAATGTGTGTCGATGTTCTACTCTGAGTGAACCTGCATCCGATAAAAGCTGAGGAAGAGCAGAGTTACTGTGCGTGCCTTTGTCTAGTCCCTGGAGCCCGGCTGCCTTACAGGAAAGACTGCATCACGAACCAACATTCATGACATACAAAACCAAAAACGATTTCCAAAGACGTCTACCAGGGCAACAGCTCTAAAGACAGAAAACCGGCAAAATTCTTCGGTGACACGGATGGGGTGTGCTCACGACGAGAATGGAAGGCCACAGGGGACCCCACCCTGAGCTTACACCTGGGGTACAGGCGCCATACGGGAAAGCCAAACTGGGAAATGCTGGGCAGACTCTGACTACGAGGGTTTTCGTTTGTTTGTTTTTTAATTTTTTTCATTGCATTTTAGAGAGGAGAGAAGAGCAAGAAAGAGAAACGTCGAAGTGAGAGAGAAACATAGGTTGGTCACCTTCTGCCTTCTGTAAGTGCCCCTTTGGGGAGCCAAGCACAGAACCTACAGCCCAGGCATGTGCCCCAACTGGGGATCAAACCAGTGACCTCTTGGTTTGCAGGATGACATCCAACCAACTGAGCCATGCCAGCCAGGTCTAACCGCAAGTTTTTCATTAATTCTTGGATATTACTGATAGCACTAAAAATTCATATCTGGGACTCTCAAATCTGAGAAACGAGGCGGGCGAGTGAGTGTCTGTCTTTCCAAGTTCCAAGCTCTAAGGACTAGTTTTAAGGTCAAGATCATACCTTCTTGATGGTGCTGAGGTTGGCATTTCGGGACACGGAGAAGTTCAGATAGACCCCCGTGGGGAGCAGGAAGTCCACCGCCACGTTCTGATTCTCCTCGCTGGTCCAGAATTCCATGGGGCAGTCCACCCCCGGGGGCATCCTGCTTTTTCACTTCTCGGACACCGGTTGTCCTGAAAAGGAAGTGAAGGCAAAATGAGCCACCGCAGGTGTGTGGCATGAGTTCCTTGAAAGGACCCTTTGGAAACAGGGTGTCAGGACCTTTGTCCTGCCTGGGGTAGCTTGCGGTTCCTACTGCCCCAGGTCACTGGCTCGGCCGAGTGGCCTGTCATCACAAATGGTTAGTTACTTTGCGTCCCCCACAGCAGTGGCCCAAGTTCAAGACACCAACAGATCCATTCCAGGTCACTTCCTCTCAGGCACACACACACATGGGAGACCTCTGCCATGGCCACCAACTGGCAAAGGAGCCAAACGGCAGGTCCTGCTCAGACACCCCAAGACTGGAGAAGGACCCAAGACTATAGTGCTCTGAAACTTTCTAACCCGAAACCCAGGTGGCCTAAAATTGGCTTTGGGCCGTCAAACAATTTGTTGAAACATCTCAGTCATACCAACCTCCCCCCCGTCCCCCCCCAGTCTTAGCCACTCCCCAGTAACAAAGTGTTACAGACACAATTAAAGGTCCCCCAGTGTCTATCCACCCCAACTTCAGGTTACCACCACCTGCATTCCGGTTGTTTATAATATCCACTGATTTTTTTTCATCCTTACCCAAGGATATGCTTTTTGATTTGAAAGAGAGAGAGAAACGCTGAGGCGAGAAACATCAATCGGTTCCCTCCTGCAGGCACCCCAACCGGGGATCAAACCCCCAACCTACGTATATGCCTTGACCAGTTACCAAAGCTGCGACCTTCTAGCTTACCTGCCACCTTTCGGTGCAAAGGACAATGCTCCAACCCACTGAGCACCCTGGCCAGGGCGCCACGGATGTCTTTATACTTGTATGCTACTAATATGTATCCACAAACAATTCCTAATATTTTTGCAGCTTTAAAACTTTGTACGAATCGTGAGCCTTCTGCAACTTGCTTACATCCTTTACATTTATCCATTTTGACACGTGTATCTCTAGTCCATTCACTTTAACTGTTGTGGTATTTCACTGTGGGAATAAACCAGTTAATTTACCCCTTGTTGATGAACCTCAAGGCCCGTTTCTACTCTGTTTGGTTATTACACACAGTGCTACAATGTATATTCTTGCTCACATCTCCTTGTGTGCAAATGAGAGTCCGGGTGAGCGTTCTTCAGGAGAAACAGAATATGGACCTCGTGTAGAATGTCAAAGTTACCAGCAACCACATTTTAAAAAAGACACAGACAAAATTAACATATGGGATTTAACCTACTATATCCAAAATACAGTCATTTTGATGTTATCAATATAGAAAAATTATTAAGGAGATATTTTCCATTCTTTTTTCTGCTGCTATTTTGAAGTCTTGTGTGTATTCCGCAATTCAGACAATAGATTTTCATCTCTCAGTGGATTTCATATAATTGCCAGGTGAAAAAGAGACGCAAGTTGTCCCAAATATATTTCCAAAAGTTTTCAAATAAATGAATTCAATTCTTACATGTAAGTGAATTACATTTAAACAAAATGTTTAAAGGTTCCATTCCTTAGTCCTCCACTCCCAAGTTAGGTGGTCCTGAGCGAGACGTGGCTGGCTGCTGGCTGGCGGCCACTGGGGGTGGAGTGCAGCCACACTTGGGTGGCACTGTCAGGTCAGAGGTAGAACTGTATTGCAGGTGCAACCAGAACATCAACTTTACCAAAGTAAAGTGGTGGCGCCCATTAGCAATAGCAGCCCTTACTCCTCTCTTGCCAACACTTGGAATTGTCAGACTCACTTGTTTACACCAACTGGACAGCCATCCAGTGTTCTTGTTATTTTAATTGGGATTTCCCTGCTTTTCCATAAAAGGTTTGTCTTCTCCAAAGAGCCTGCTTATAAACTTTGCTTATTTTTCTGTGGAGTTATTTGTTCTTTTCTTATTAGCTTGTAGAGTTACTTTGTATACTCTAGACTGAATTATTTTGTTGAATAAGTGAGTTGGAAATGTCTCCTAGTTCCAGTCAGCTTTTCACTTGTTGACAGTGGTTTTTTTCTTGATGAGTAGAAGTTTTTACTGTTGATGTAGCAAATTCATCACCATTTTCCTTTGTTTTATGGTTTTTACTTTTTTAAAAATCCTCACCCAAGGACATGTTTTCATTGCTTTTAGAGAAAGAGGAAGAGGAAGAGGAAGGATAGGAAGGGAGAGAGAGAGAGAAACATATGTGAGGGAGAAATGTTGATTGGTGGCCTTCTCATATGCGTCCCAACCAGGGATCGAACTCGCAACCCGAGAATGTGCCCTTACTGGGAATTGAACCCACAACCTTTTGGTCTATGAGGTGATGTTCCAACCAACCGAGCCACATCAGCCATGGATGATTTTTATCCTTTAGAAAAATACTTCCCTAACCTAAAATACTTTCCTCACATCCTTCTGCATTTAAATGACTTTTAAAACCAGTTGAAAGGAACTGCTGAGTGGGGACAGAGACCCCAGTGTCAGATGGGCCACACCTCGCCCTGGGCTGCGCGTAGAGCTGCCGGGAGCCGCCTGGTGTGCACACCACCCGCCACCACCCTGACACCGCCGGCGAGATCCCCGTCCTCTGATTGTAAAACCACATCCTACTTCGGGTTCCTCTTTCTCAGAATGGCCAGGCCAAAGGCTTTCTTTTGATTCGAAATGTTGGGGCTTGTCGGGAACCCCAGAGAACCCACGTACAATCCTGCCTGTGCTCTGGCTGAGCTCGAGAAGTCAGGAGCACCCCTCACTCCCCTGCCCCTCAGCGCCATGGAAATGCAGCCTTCGACCACTGGCATCCGTCTGAAGTGCAGGGAAGCACTTGGACGTAAGAAACTTGTTCCTAAAAGGGGAAGAGACTCGGGACAGTGTGAGCAGCCCAGAACCACATGCAGACACAGGCCAGGAGAAAGTGGGAACTCCTTCCCTCTCTGGGGGCCCAGGACCCGGGGTGCAGCCGCTAACAAGCCCCCAACTGCCCATGAAGTCCAGACTTGTTGCTCTGCAGTGTGTGAAGGCCCCGAGGCCAACTAATCTGGGGGCTTTGGAACTGCTCCAAGAATGCAAACTGGCACAACCACTTTGGGGAGCTGTTTGCCAGTATCAGCTATGCCCTATGACCCTGCAATTCCCTCCTGGGGATACACCTAACAGACATACGAGAATGGGTACCAAAATCAAGTCCAAGTGTGTCTGCAGGACCTCTACTCATCACAGCCTACACTGGAAGCATCCCAAATGCACATCAGCAGACAAATGGAACAATAAATTGTATCCGCTCCCAATGGAACATTATAGAGCAATAAGAATGATCTACAAATACACCCACCACTATAAATGAATCTCACAAACACAAAGCTGAGTGCAGAAGTCAGGCGCAGAAGAATATGTGCTCTTGATTTCAATTACACGGAGAACAGGCTCGGGCAGGACTAAATCTACGCTAGCGGAAGAGATAGGGCTAACCCCTAGGGGAGAGCAGTTACCCCGGAGGAAAGGGGCTTGAGGGGCTTCTGGGACCTGGGAATTGCAGCTTTCTTGATCTGGAAGCTGGGGACTTTTCACCAACTCCACAGATCCTCAGCCCAAGTGGTTCAGTTGACTTCAGTCCTGGCCTGAGACCCAGGCCCAGCCAATCAGAGCCCTTAATTCCCCCACCCCCCCACCCCTGCATGGGGATTGGACTATAAGTGGGAGTGGCACTTAGGCCCAGCCAATCATCGTGTGTCATCTTTACATATTCCAGGATGTGCATGTGAATGTCAAATCAGTACAATGGGTTTTGACATCTGGACTTCCTCTTGGGGTAGCAGAAAACATAGACTAACAACTTAGAGACCCTGTGACCATCAGCTGCCCTTATGGGGCGGGACCTGAAAAGAGAGCAACAGAATGGGAAGCAGAGTTCAGCGCAGAGTACAAGTGGGCCCTGAGGACAGTCTTTGAGTCCCTGGACACAGCCACACCTGAAGCTAGGCTCTATCTCTGGACTTGTCAGTTTTATCAGCCAATAAATGCTCCCTGCTTCTTCTCCTTTTTAACTTAGAGCAGTTTGAGTTGTTTTTTTGTCACTTATCGCTGGAATGATCTATTTCCATTAATGCAACAACACATTCCACTTTGGGAAGCTTCTAGTGTTTAGAAAGTTCTTTCCTTGGCCATTGACCTGCCTCCAGGAGTCACCCCTGTCCTTTGTGCTGCCCTTGAGACACACAGGTTGTCATCTGATGGCTCTCTGCTGGATGGTGGCCCTGGGACCTCTGACTGTTCTCCCCACAACAGGGTTTTCACACTCTTCTTGCCAAAGTCCAGAACTCCGAGCTAACAGGATGCTCCAGATGGGGTCTGGTCGGCCAGCTGCAGAAGAATGTTCTGGGCACCAAGCTCCCATTTGCTCAGCCCAAAAGGATATCAGGCTCCCCCACTGCACCCCCAGAAAGTTTTCTGGGGGCCGTATCACTGGCTCACTGGCTGCCAACCCTCCCGACACTGCTCAGAGTAAGCCGGGTTCTCCCAGCCTGTGTGGAAACACAGTTCCTGGATCTGAAGAAACTTCTGGAGGCACATGGCATGTTTTACTCTTGCTAATTCCGCCTCCCGAAATGATCGCCAGTCCCGCATTACTGGATTGGATGTTTTATACATATCTCGCATCTGAGATGTATTAGTTTATTCAACTGGTATTTATTAAGCGGCAGGAATCACTCTTGGGAGAGGAGACACACACAGGGACATGGGAGGGAAGGGTGATCACACAGTGACGTGACAGAGGGGCCACTCCAAGACCACAGGGTGGGGACGGGGATGGGAGGGTGTGGATGAGACGGCTTGAAGAGGTCAGCAGGGGCCAAGTCCTGCAGGGCCTTCAGAACAGGGCAGATGCCATGTTCCACTGTCACGGCGAAGGGCAGCCCTGGAGGTAAGTTTTAGGTGGGGAGTCACGGGACCTGGTTTGTGTCTGAACCCATGCTGCAGGCTGCGTGGGTGGGGGAGAGGCCGCATGAAGTGTCACGGGGCGGGGAGG